CATATGTTCAGATTGCATTCAAGTACTTATCTCTACATTGTAATACCTGCCTTTATCAATTTATAAAAGAAATTGTGTTGACCTTTGCCAATCTCGTTGACACCTATTTCTTAAATGAGATGTCAAATCGATGTCACACTTATTAATATGTCGTAATATTATACAGGGCCGCCATTAGGTCTACTCTGGGCCTCTTAATTTAGATTTTTCAATTGAAACGAAACCGATGTTCATCCTATATATTGACATTATGTATAATGACGACCTCCATAGTCAAGTGACTTGCACACCGGTTTTCAATGTAGAAAAACTCTAGCTTTTCTATATTGTCTTGAGTCTGGGTGTTTATGCTACGATCGTTGTTTCCTTTATTTGTTTTTGATATGGATTCTAGAAAACCATCGATATAGAAAACATAATAACCTCCTAAAACCCAGCAAATTACTACAGGGGTAATTAAATTATATAATTACATGCTTCAGGCCCAAGCAAATGTGTCCGCAGTTTTGTATGAAAAACGACCGGGGATTTTTTAAAGTACATTTCTAGATATCTTACGGTCATACAAAATATATAGCAATAAATTTAAAGAAGGTATCTTCTTTCATTAGAATATACACTGATGTACGTTACATGATCATCGACAATAGCTGTAAACCGCTGTTCAAAAAACTAAACATACTGCCTTTGCCATGCATGTACATTAGGGATATCTGCGTATTTGTCAAAACTTATCCTCAATATTTCAAAACACATGGTGAAATGAATCAAAAGCAGACACAGATAGAGCAAAAATTATGAATCTTTTGTACCAACCTCGTTGCCATAAAGTAATTTATAAGAAAAACTGCTTCAACATGTGTATAATTATTTACAACAATCTGCCAAATTAAATTAAATTGTTTCAAGGACATACTTTTCAATTACAATTGACAAAATGGCGTTTGACACATTGCTTCTATAGTAATAAAGAATACTTAGAATTTCCAAATAAAAATTTACATTAATTTGAAGTACAATTAACTATAGAAACCAAACATGAAATTAATATTTGCACATCTGCTTGCAGGTTGAATACAATGTACCTAATTTTATTTAAGACCTTTATAATTACTATATTCTGCCAAATAAACGTATTCTATTCTATTCTATTCATAGGAAGACAATTGCCTGGGTCCGAATAATTTCACATAATATGTACATTTACCTAATGTACACGGTGCCTAGGAGGTTAAAGGCATAGTAACTAACAAATAGATTATCCTAATGTCTTTTTAAAAGAAGGTCCCTTAAATTACAACTGTGGCCCCGAATTACGTCTTCAGTCTCTGTCTCTACACATGTTCGCCCCCAGAGTCAAAAGTCAGAAGTCAGGTTGTGCAGTCAATTGGTGCCCACGCCACGGTGACTTCAGAAGCATTCTACGCCATTTATAGTTTATGTAATATCTTTATTGCCTACTTGTTGTCTTTATGCGTATAAGGACTTTAAAATACCTCTATGCACGGTGTAAAAAAAGTGCAAAAGCAGTGTCAATGTCATTAATTAGACGTAATTGTAATAAAAATACTATCGTATTTTTTTGTAATAAAAAGCGTGGTGCATATTTTGTCAACCCTGATTTCAATACACATACACAATTAAGACCATTATGACTTGCCAGACAACCGCACCAATTACCTGGTCTCAGACTAGGTAATATCGTGTACGAAGAGCCCAAGAGCAACGAAATTAATTCCGAGGTATCAACCAAAACACCCAGATCAGAATCAATTTAGTAAAATTCTGGATATGGATACCTTTAAAATAATTGCATATAGTGCCTGTTATATTATCAACGATACAGACTAGATAGAAAGACCTACAGAGCCAACCGGACAACCGGATAATCCAATTTGCAATGTCCAGTAGGCAATAGCCAATCCTCACAAAGAGCCGAACAAACGCAATAATGTCAGGGTTTATTGATGCACTAACTCCGACTCGGCTTTAGGCGACTTGTGATTTAATGCTTTCCGAAATAATTCGTAACAAAATATTAAGTATGTGTATTTTGCTTTTCTTTTTTTAAATCTTGTTTCTTGTTTTTTTCTTTACATAAATCTTGTACTATGATTTGTATTTAATAAAATGCCATGGAACGTGACAATGATTTATTTTTCTGTTGTTTTGACTGTCAGTATTCAAAGTTTTAAATAACTAATTTCTATAGAACAGTAATCTATTTTATTTACTTCAATTAACCGTTATGTCGTAGGAAATCAATTTAAATCCGGAAATAAATATAAAATTGAACCAAATCAATACTATCAATGAACTTGTAACAGTAAATTCGAAATTCGAATGCAAATGATACAGGACACCATTTTAGTCGACAAAAAGCAACAACAATGTCGTACTTGTCATGGCACAGAATACACAGTGTAGGTATATTTATTAAATATTTTATATCAAACATTGCAGGCGTGTTTGGAAAGTAAGTTTAAGAACGGTACATCAAATTTAATACAAACAATTTTACTTTCTTTGTAAAAATCATCAAAAAAGAAATCAGATTTGTTATTGATACAAAGATCGAATACAAAGAAAGTCCCTTCGTTGTGACTGGACTTGTTGCTGACCAGCGTTTATTGCCACACTGGGTGCCATCGCTTTTACCCAAATTTCTTTATGTGTTCGTTACATGGCTGCACTTCACAAAGTTACTTGTATCCGTTAGTGGGTGTTTGATGTACTTGCTAAAATATTTTACGTCAAACATTTTTAAAATGCCCGTCAACACATGGAGCCAAATAAGGAGTTAAAATAATAAATAAGACCATAGAGTGGACGGTTTACTTGCGTCTTTATTTGCGTCTTTGGTGTTTGCTGTATTTGTCGAATAGGCAAACAAGGCAAATACTTTGTTACACATGCCATTTACAAATAATGATTGTTTGCCAAATATATCAAATACATAAATACAAATAGCCGTGAGAGGTGCCAGCAACAGACTTTTGTATTGGGATTAAACTTTTTTTTATCGCCGTCACCGCACCTGTGAGCAACTTATGATGTTACTACTCACTCAGAAATCAGAATACTCAGAAAACGATACCTTACTTTCACAAACTCGTATCTTATAAAGAGTGAGCATTCAGATGGCAAGACTTTCTGTTTATTTTAAATTTCATATCAATAGAATTTGGATGCATTACTTTAAGAATAGGTAAAAGCCAGTGTGTGAATATGAAGGAAATGTGAATTGAAATCAGCCTGCAAAAATAAGTATAGACAATAATTTTTTGCATTTTAGTAACTTTTAAAATACGTCTTTGAGAAAGTAAGGCGACGAAATCATAATAAATATTCGCTAGGATATTGTACCTTGTTATGGACGTCAGGTATAAGTAATTTTATTGTGAATGGTCTCATTAGTGAACAAGAAAACCCCTATTTTACATAAAATTACCATGAAAATCGTTTATGTACTAATGCAAAGTTGGTTTACTCCCAACATTCATTGCCACAGTCATACACGTTTGTTCCATCTAATTTAGTATGCAACAGTGTTAAGACTGTGACCAAAGGGTTATTTAAATTTCGACTTCCTTGTAACTAGTTGGAATTCATTGACACTTTCTAGGGAAAGCACATTGTCATAACGAGGTACGAATGTAGGATTGTCTTGGAAATATTTACGAAGACAAATTCACGTACTTACTTTTATTTTCCAGAAACTTAGGTACTTGTTAAGGCCAATTGCAAGTTCGTTTTTTAACTTAAAAACAGAATTCTAAAGTTTAAATCTTTTTGTGAAGTTTTTAGTGTGGTATTCCTAAAATGTCAACAAAGAGAAGATAATGTACTTATTTGCCGGTAATGAATAAATTTTGCAAGAGTATCAGCTTTTTCAATATTAGATGTAACAATATTTATACATACATACGTAACACCACATATTTGTGTATAACGCAGATTCTTATTTTGTCTCTTCATGTTTCTTGAAGCAACTTCATAAAATCTACATAGTTATAATTGCTAATCTACTTATAACATTTAAATATATGAGTTTTATATATACATTTTCAACTTTAAAATAAATATTACATATTGTTCCGATTACATTCGTACAAGAAAAGAAAAGGGTGTGCCAGTGTCCAATATGCTCTTTCACACATTGATTTCAAACTCTTTGTAAGTAATTTGTAAGAACTTTTATCTTTTACGTTTGAATTTGATCACGTCCAAGATAATAAATAATCCTTTGTGCCTAGTTTGTGGCCAATATAGGACAGATTACCCGTTGCGCACGTTGAGATAGATACTGCGCGGCGTACATTCTTTCGCATATGCGAAACATAGCATGATACAGATGTACATATCGCACATTGTGTCAAGGCCAAATTTTGTTTCTTAAAAACTCTCGTAGAAGTATTTTTTTACATCTCACTGCTGGGCACGGGTCCGTCTCGCTGACCCTATGCAGGGTTTTGAGAGCTGTGAACCTTCTTCGACTTTGTGATGCGGTAGGTCAAACGATTAGGCTACCACGGCGTACTTAAGTAGTTTACTCCATTGCAATAGTAATAATTTCGCATATGCGAAAGGATGCATGTTTATTACACAATTACAATGTGAATATAGCATGAGCATTTACTATGTTGACTCAGGGTGAATCTTACTCGAAGTGAATACGGATTTTCGACCTTTGGTTTGATCTGGCTACTTCGGCATTCAGTTCTTTACCAACTTAGTCACTTCATCGATAACATATAAACTAGTGAGATATAAAGATTTTTTTCTGAAAGAGAGAGAAAATGAAATGGAATTTATTCAGCACAACACATGTGTACGTGAGCACAATATTATGATTTTATGACTAAAAGTGTATTGCACTAAAAAGGGTCCAACTGCGGCGGAGTCACAGCGCTGGTTTTCAGTGGACCCCTTTCGAAATGGCCGTTATAAATTTTAGATATATAAACTGTTCTAACAAAACCTGTATGATGTTGTTTCAGGCGGTGTGGAAGGCAAGTACCGCGTGGCGGCACCAGAACTCATGCAGGACACGTTCATGAGCGACTCCGAGGACGAGGGAGGTGAGTGATTTCAACAAAACGATTCGAGGCGGAACCTCCACACGCACGAGATAGATTGTAATTGCTTGACTTTCGATCTTTTGCATAAGTGATTTTGGTGCCAACTTTTTCTTTTACCAAGTCCCTGAATTTTTAATCGACTTCAAAAAATTTGGAGGTTCTCAATTCGTCTGTATTTTTTTTTGTGTAAACTGATTTTGATGATTCTTTTTTTGTTGGAAAGGGGGTACCTCAGTAGGTATATCCCATTCAAATTTGAAGAAAATATTCCACCACTAAGAATGGCAAATTTGGTGATGAATCCGGTGTATTGTATTTCACCCACTTCCCCTTGACCAATTTCAACAAAACTTGGCACATACATAAAAGAATAAATAAATATTACTGCCGTCCACTAACCAAAACCCGAGTAAGTAACAAAATAAATTTTTGAAATATCATAAAAACTTTTTCTCTTATATTGGACAAACAAAACGAAGTATTTGTACCTGGGTCAAAGAATGTATAGCTAATGTCAATCACCGTCGCGTAAACAAGTCTGCAATCTGCGAACATGTCATGGATAAACCTACACATTCAATGAAGTTTGACAAACCCCAGGTCCTTGCAAAAGAAGTCCGTTATCAACCCAGGGTGCTGCGAGAGGCCATTGAAATTAAAAAACATCCCAATTTCAATAGGGAAGATGGTTTCTCCGTACCACCAGTTTGGGATCCAGTATTTCCTCTAATGAAAAATCCCAAACAGACATAAGACTGCAGTACTAATATGTTCTAGTTAATTCTAATTTCTATTATAAATTAATAATAAATTGAAGTTAATAAAAATTCATTCAACAAAATAATTTGTAAAATTTAATGTAGCGTAAATTGGAATGTTTTCTTTGTAAAATTAAAAATAAGGTATTTAATTAATAACTATTGTAACTATAGTGAAAAAATAGGGTGGTTTGCATCAATATTAGACACAACTGGTTGAAGACCAGCTCACCTCCTCCTACCTCCTACCACCTCAGTCACCCGTGACCATGGGACCTGTAAAGGGCCCGAAACGTCGGTTTGTTTGAAAAAACAAAATATACGCGATTTAAATCCGGAAAAATAGTTTCATTTCCTATCATAAAAACCATAACCCCGTTTTCAGAATATTGAAATTGTTTAATGATATTTCAGCTATGCGTCGTTAGGGTAAGTTCCGATAAGTCGAACTAATTAACTAATTTTAACTGTTTTTAAAAGAGAATTTTGTGCTCTATTTTTTGCTGTTTAAAACGGTTATTTGCCCATTTGTCACTTAGATGCGTTTAGTTAGTGGACGGCAGATTAGACAACATAACATTCGTCGCTCTGAGCCCAAAGTAAATAGCTAAAGAACTTGTGTTATGGGAATCGGAAACAACAACGGTACCACAAACACCCAGACCTGGGACAATATAGAAAAGTTAGTTTTCTACACTGACCCGTCCGGGGATCGAATCCGGGACCTCAAAGATGGCGACACTAAAAAAATCGGTGTGCAAGCCAATACGCCGTCAAATTCCAATGTAACTAAAACACAGCGAAAAGTGACATGCAAACTTTTGAGGTCGATTTTTTTAAATAAAAAAGTAAGTATGTCACTTGTATGTTGTTTACTAGTAACATAGTAACTAGAGATGCGCCGAGTACAAGTTGTACCGAGTAACCGAGTACCGAATATTACTCGGTTTAACATTTGCCGAGCCATATACTCGGCCGAGTAACTCGGTTCATTGCAACCAGAACGCGATGGTCCTAAAAGTCCCATTGCTCTAGAATTAGACTGATATGGTAATGAAAATTTAGTGTCGCGAGAGCAGAGTCCTTTCCAATGGTGGGCAGGGCATAAAACATGATATCCAAACCTGGCACAGTTAGCACGAGTGTTTTTATTATATATTCCGAAGCGGGTAATATGAAGACAAAAGGAACAGACTATTAACTGAACGCACAGAAAGCCTCGTATTCCTCCATCACAACTTGCCTTTGTTAAATTTTAAATATTAATAATGTAAACTTTCTTTTTAAATTACTAAATTGCTACAAATTGGGACAATTGTCTAGAATTTGTAGAATAAATATCTTTTGATTATTGCAAATATATTGTTGGTTTAACTTCATTATGTCTATAGCTGTAATGCTTTATTTTAACCGAGTACTCTTCTTATGAACCGAGTTATTCGACCGAGTACGAGTAGTAAAACAACGGCCGAGTACACCGAGTACCGAGTAGCAAACGAGTACTCGGCGCATCTGTTATAGTAACCACAAATATTTTTTGATGTGTGTGTGTATTTTATTTCTTTTATTTAGGTACAAAGCTAGCGCTATGATAGTTGCTCACACACATCATTATCATGAACAATCAGTAGCAAATTTTTGTTAAAACGAACACAAATCTAAGCAAGAACGGTAAAGAGTGTAGACAATAGCTTATCTGTGGAGTTAAACGTTTATGTTACTTTTGAGAATAAATGTTATGAATTATTTATGCTACTATTGTGATTGTCTATAACGCAGTTATAACGCCATCAAATGACATCAGACAGTGGAGATGATGCCATACGCATAACTATGACTTAAATGGGTTATAAAAACCTATTAAAGAATCCATTTATGTGAATTTGCACCGTGTCATATATGTATTAAGGAATAAATAAGGTAATTTATTGGACGCTTCTGTAATGCCCTATCCGAGCCCTTTCTCTGTATGGTAACATGAATTCTGATGCCAATTCCTTACTACGAAAGTGTTATTAAAAATGAAATTAAATACCTACAATATAAACCTGCCAAAGACTATGTTATGCTACGATCATACATTATTAAAGCGATAGCCCAGTGGGAGAAAGGTTGCTTCTCAATTGAGATGTAGACGATTCGAGTCCCTTGTGGTGGCACGTACCTATAACTTTAATTTTTAAGTGACGTACGTTTATGAACATACCAGAGCAATCGAATTCACACTGGGGCACTTCCCAGAATACCCAGACGAGAACCATTTTAGACAAGCTTATTCCCCAAATTGGTCCGACAGGGAACAGACCCCGGGACCTCCGCATCCAGCGCCCACAATGTAAACCGTTAGGCCACCGAGGTCGTCGTTTAAGTCTAGATTTAAAAAAATAAAGATAGGCTCACGTATATCCACAATTTCTTGCTGAAAACTGAAAATGTGGACACGATACATGCGTGAAGATTAAGTTTTTAACTTAAAAGGATATTAAATCTGACAATGTAACCTAAACCCACGCCTTGGCAAACAATCTATTATATCCTTATTAGACTTGTATAAGAGATGGCCTCGCGGATGATATCACTGCATATAAATCTGCATTTATTATCTTTTGTATGACCTATCTTCGGACCGGTTTACGTGAGGTTTAATAAAACTATGAGAAAAGTGTTTTCTTGTGGAAATATGGATGACGTCAATCATATTTTGAATCCAAATACGGTGTAACCAAACCAAGAGAAATATTTTATTTGTATGCGTCTTCTTTTGACTCTATATCGATATACAGAGTCAAAAGAAGAAAAAGGTACCTAACAATTTGATCATTTTCACTTTTTATTGTGGGAAATGCTTCATTTCTTTCTAATGTATAAGGTAACGTTTAAACAAAATCAAACATATTCAAGGAAACCTCGAAATACAAGGAAATCTTGAAAATATACCAGATTGAAAGTTTGGAAGCCTCTCGTGTAAAATTGTGATTTTGCGCTTTGGCCCTTATACATAGAACCCATCGATATGATATGGTAGGACGGAAAAGGCTTACAGTTAAGTTAAAAGCGCATTATGGACAATATAAGGCACATGAAATTAAATTTAGAGAGAGAGCGAGAGAGAGGTTTTATTTACTCTTTACAACATTTGAATGAATGTAATTTAAAAATGTTGCTTTGGCTTATGATTATATAAGTTCAAATTTGTACAATGGCATATAGTTTTAATTAAAATTGATCAAATAAATAAATAGGGAAATAAAGCATTTATTGTATTGTTGATGTTATATTGTAAATATAACATATATAAATAAAATATATATAAAATCTAACTTTGTATTGAATTGATATTCAATTATTTTTTTGTGAAATTACATCGCTAGTTTGTTATAATTATTAAAACAAACATCGACGAAATGACGATATCCTTTTATAGATTTCTCATAGATTGCGTTACGGCTAAAAAGTCGTTGAAAACCAAATATAAGATCCGACAACAAGCACATAGAAAAATTCGTAAGGTCCGCTGGTCCCGTGTCTTAGTAGGCATAGCGTCTGTCACGGTTTGCTAGAAGACGTCGGTTCGAATCCGACCGGGTAATAATTATTAAAAAAAACTATTCCAAAAAAGAACTAGAATAGGAGAAAAGCTAGAACACAAACTACGCATCCTGCCTGACCAATGGCTTATTGAGCATGGGGTGGTGATGTACCACCAGGGGCCATATGACAATCTGTCCAATTGGACAACATATTATGGTCATTTTGATCCCTGTCTGAACGTATTAATAGCAGCATATTAGGATAAGGTTCTGAGATACCTCTGGAACTTTATATACGGGGGGATTAACAAGACAAACACCAAAATTCGATAATATTATTCTATACTGAAACATGCAGAATATTTGTTTTCTACTAAAAATCCGTTAAAAGAAGTAGGAGACTCCATTATACAAAACTTGGATTCCTCAAACTCAACAGAAGATGTTAGGGTTGGTAAACTTAAGCCTTTTAAGTCCCTCCCGCGTTCCTCCTAGTGTACCTACGTGTAATTATCATCGTTTATCATTTACAGGAGAAGTAGAGTGTCCAATCCAGCAACAACAGCAATACCGCTACATGAACAATGAAGCGGGCACGCTGCACCGAGCCAAGCCGCTCGAGGACAGCGTCACCGATGGCCATCTCTGGCCGAGCAACAATGACCGAAAAGTGGCCACTATTGACCGTCAACCACTCGACATCGGGTGAGTAATTAATTAATAAATAATTGAGACTATCAGCGCAAAAATGGTGTAACCCACATTTTTTTTCCTACAAACTATTGTAATGACTTTAAAGTCCACCTTTGGTCACGTTCTCTATGCTTTATATTTCTTTGTATTTCGATATTTTCGATCCTTTCTTATGCCTATTATAGGTTTCATATTAAAAAGTAAGGAAATCACTTGAAATGAAACCTATAAATACACATAACATAAAAGGATATATTTAAGTTGAAATGCAGCAAATCATATTTCGATTTACAATAAATTACGTGCGAGGTATCGATTTGGCGCAATTAAAAATATATTAAATGATACTAGACCACATAATTATTTTATATTTTGATACTGTTTTAATCTAAAGAAATGAATGTGTGTTACACCACTTTTGTGCCGATGGCCTCAAGTATAAAAGGAAAAATATCTTATAACAAACTCTATACAAAGATCTGTAACAATTCTGTAGCATAGTGTAGTGTAAGGATGCTAATGACACCACAGGCACATGGACTTGTCTACTTTATGTCTTATGGTGACGGGCGCAGTGGTAGTGCACCTCAGACGTTTGCAATTTAAAGCTCAGTGTGGCACTGCACTGTTATGGATAGGCGTGTCGCTTGCCACCAGGCGCACGACTTCGTCCCGTCATTTTATATCAGTAAAAGAGTTAGTTAAGAGCGGTAGCTCCGGCATGGCAGCCGACACTAGTTCCGAATCCAGTTACATTGAAGAAATTTTTCTTTGGTTTGTTCGATCTTATCAAAATAATAAATAACAAACCAGCGAAGTAATTTCACAAAAAAAAATGTGATGGTAACACATAATGATATTTAATAAATAAATAGCACCCCTTATGGAAGAATGGCATAAGGGGTGCTATTTATTTGTTATTGCTATTTAAATTTTCAAACTTCTTTGTCTGGCAGTTGGCAACACATCTGCGATCTTAACCATACTTATATATTGCAAATATACGTATAAAGCAGCTCTGTAGCCACATACTGTCGAGAACCTTTGCCAGATCAATGTTTTAGTTTAAGACTATTTCCAATCTGTATTTCGTAGGTTCCTGGTGTCGTTCGTGGTTGATGCGCGTGGCGGCGCCATGAAAGCTAAGCGACGAGGCGGCGTACGCATCATCGTGCCTCCCGCTGCTTGCAACGCGCCCACGCGTGTCACGTGCCGGTAAGTGTACTGGAAATAAATTGTTTATTTCCATAGTGTTGCTAAATCCATCGGGAACTGTATAATCAGCTACATCTAGTTTATAATTGCCATACCTATTATGAGATCCCAAATTTGCCTTCTACGACGTTTAAAACTATTGCCGAGGATAAACTCATGTAAAAAGATATTATACAATTACTGCTTGTATGACAAAATGTATAGAAGTAATCTGTTTAGCTCTTTCAATTCATTACCCACCATAATTATAAATGAGAATAAAATATTTGTTTTCAAAGACCGCTATAGCATAGCATACAAGATAAGTATGGTAACTCAATACAAACGTAGCAGCGCGGTTTGTATGTGTGTATACCTGCCGCGTGCCGTTTAGGGACGCACCCATTCGCATAATCTCGTAATGCAATCGCGTTGCAGAGTGATGGTCGTCTCACGCGCCTTTAATTATTAAACGAATGTGTGCGTAAGGTACACGGCGCGCGACAGGTGTGCACACACATATGCCGCATGCCGCTGCGTATGAATGGAGTTGCCATATAGTTTCATATTACTTCTTCATTCTCAAAGGAATCACCTTACAAATAAGTAGAGCGATTTATCAATGAATTTGACGATTTCAAATATAATTTGCTTATCTATGAAAGTTATTTCTAAATAATTTGTAGTACTCGTACAGATGCGTGGTAATTGCCCTCCTTGTACTAACGCATTTCCATTTTGGTAACTCTCGCGATATTGGCACCTAAAGCTTTTTTCTTTGAAAAGTGTCGATTCCGCTGATTTTACTTAACAATAAAATTGAAACTAAATATCTACTTATAGGGCGTTGTAGATCTCGTGTTGCTGATTCCAGATATTTTAATAACTTAATTTCGCTAAAAATGTCGATTATGTTAATTATGATAAAGAGGGTAGTATTGATGTCGTATATGGAAGTCCATATCGTCGAAAACATACGCAATATACGTAATAGTGTTTAGTTACGGCTTTATTAATCCGTAAGCTAAGCGAAAATCCTGTTTAAAATGAAGGCCAGACACAAGACAATACAATTACACCACATTACATACACTCAAATGCACTTATTCCATTACACAATGTAAACCAATAAGCGCAGAACATAATTTATTTTGAATGAAGCAATGGATAGCTATATGTACATGTCAAATGTGCTGGAAATGTCCTTAGTTTAACTGGTTGATTTTTAAACCGACTTCAAAAAGAGGGGGTTCTCAATTTGAGTGTATTTTCTTGCATATGTATAAGTCATTTGATTTGTTTGTTTTTTTGCTGGAAAGAGGGTACATCAGTATTGGTCCCATTTAAATTTGAAGAAAATATTCCACCTCTAAGGGTGGCAAACCAGGGGATGAATCCGGTTCCGCGCACTTTCAAGTAACCGATTCCAACAAAACTTACCAAATAGATGCAAGTCCACGAACTTTTGAGGTCGGTTTTTTAGTAAATGACTATTACTAATATCAGGTTTCTTACCACGGTATGACTTCTTTTTATTTTCCCGATATTTCGGAACGGTTGCACGCTCTATGGTCACGGGTGGACTGGACGGCGGCAGAAGAAGAGTGTGAAGTCATACCGTGGTAAGAAACCTGATATTAGTGACAATCATTTAGTGAATAACCACGGTTTTTTAGTACTATGTACTGAGATTATTTTTATTTTAATTACAGTAGGAAAAATACATATAATAACATTTAATTATATCTGTAAACTGCCTCTATGACCGAACGGTTACCACGCCGGATTGCCACGTAGAGGTCCCAGACTCGATTCCCGGGCCGGGAGAAATATTTGTATGGCCTACATTTATTTCTCTCGTGAGTTTGGGAGTAATTTGTGGTTGTCCATGTGTGTGTCCATGTACACGCGACCCAGGGTTTCGTGTGTCGCGGAGTGTGTGCGTTATTATTATTATTATTATGTAAAACTGTTAGTAGATATCTAATTGTATATTAAGTAATTGTAACAATTATGAGACTAGACCTCTCTTCTACTAATTGCTGTTTCCTGTTCAGGGTTCATAATTTGATCTCAATATTAATATAAAAACATATGTAATATACAATATGAAACGCGAATAAAGAATTAAGTTCGTTTGAATTATAATTTACTGTTGAGTTTTAGTAATATAGTTTATAAGAACTACTTAATAATACAATATGGACATACTTAATTGACACAATATCCTTGTTCGATACCAGCCCGTCACACCGTACCATACCTGATCCGAAATAAAGTAAAATATTATTATTATTCGCCTATTATTATTATAGCCTATTCACAGTGCCCTTACAATATTGAATAAACTCTTAGCATCAGCACCGGAGTGTGATATTTTTGCGTGGCGAAGGACGGCTGTGTATGGTGAATGCTTGAGATATTGTGAGATGATGGATGATAGGGAATCAACTGTTTTAATTTAAGTTATAATATGTTACATATCTAATTTTTGTTATGTTTAGTTCACATGGGGCATTGGTTTGTACTGTAAGGCCATGTGGATATATTTACAATAAATAAATAAATAAATAAATAAATTATTTAAAGAAATTAAAGTTTTTACACTTGCCTCACAGTACTTTTATGAAAATTAAATTTATGAGAACATTTATATAAATACGACATCAATACAAGGAGTAAAAATAAACTGGCTGTTTGACGATACCTTAATAAGATTCCGGTTGATATTTAATTTAACTATAGTGAAACAAAACTTTACACTAAAGCTTCTGCGTACATAGATGACGAAAATTCATGGTAGTGTATTAGTTTAGCTTGCAGGTTGTCTTGATTTTAGTAGCTTTAGAGCTCCTTGCAATTCTAGGGCAGCACTGCCACCCTACTTATTTCTGCCGCCAAGCAGTAATGTGTGCATTACTTTTGAGGGATTAGGGTTCTGGTGAAATTACAGACCCGTGGAACTTATCAACTTATGTCTCAGAATGACGGGCGCAATGACAGTGCCCCTTAGATGTTTGTGATTTAAAGCTCTGAGTAGCACTGTTATGGGCAGGTGTGTGACTTACCACCAGGCGCACGACTCGTTTCGTCCCGTCACTAGGTGTCATAAAAAAGTCTGTAATCTGATATACAAATACGTTTATATACAAATAGCAACCCCAAGAGTTTCTCACTCATTCTTCTCGGGTAATCTCACCTTACCAATAGTAGAGTTTCTTCAGTTTGACGATTTGAAGTGTATTTGTTTACCTATGAAATAAAGATTATCTGAGTTTGAGCAAAACTCTTTCTTCCAATCTTTAGTTTCTTAAATTTATCATTATCTTGAGCAGTCCTGTCATACATTATTTAATCTCTTCTATGTTATCAATTTATTATACAATTAAATAGTCCTATTTTAATGTTGTTCCAGTGCCGCAACCCGCCGCGCACCGGCCGCAGCGCCGCCCCCTCTGATGGAGGGTGAAGCACTGGCCTCTAGACTCTTGGAGCTGCAACCACAGGGGGCAAAGTTCTTGGCGTAAGTAACTCTTTCATGTTATGGTGGTGTGGCGATGATAGACTCTGTAGAACACTATTATAATGGATAAAAAAAACTAATATCGCACTCCTCATGGAAGAATGGCATAAGTGGAGTTACTTTAAAAATGTTTATTGCTCCATTAGATACATAAAAATATAACCGACATCTTCTCCAATTCTTGTAATTCTATCGACAATATTAACGATTATTATTATTAATTAACACATTATGTCCCACTGGTGGGCAAATACTAACGATAACGATAACGACGACGAAAGTTACAAAAATTGGAGAGCATGTGGGTTATATTTTTCTGTATCTAATGGAGTAATAAACCTTTTTAACGTAACTCCACTTATGCCATTCTTCCATGAGGGGTGAGATTATAGGATATTGTTCCTTGTGCATTTCAAATATAGTACTTTTTATGTTGCTACCGTCTTCTATTTAGTGATGCAACAGACATCAGCTTCTGCTTCCGTAATTGTGGAAGTTTCTGTTTGTGCTTCCCCCATTGACTTACAATTATATGGACGTCGGGTCCGCGCTAAAAAGTGTCCGCACTTGTAAGGCGCTAAAATCGTATACAGAGCGCGACACTCCGCTTTAGTCTTCATTTGTTCTACGGACAGCGCGATACTGCGATGACATAACAATTTAAATTTCGAATAGGTTGACTTGGGACATTTTTTTCGTGGTTTTTGTATTAGACCCGTCGTCCATTTATTTGTAAGTCAATGGCTTCCCCCTTTCCTGAAGTTTGCAAAATTTGCGACGGATCAGATGCTGGTGCGGTTTAACTGTGAAACCAAAACAAGCCCTGTTAGGAACTATTTTGTTGAGTTTTTTATAGTATTTACACTTCCGATTCCGTTTCCGCTAAGATTTACTTTTGACATCTGTTTGCGTTAAGACTCTTCCGTTGCATCACTACTTCTATCTAAGAGCATTTCACTTGTCGATGTAGCTCCCTCCAACCCTCAATGAAATCACATGAAGTAATAACTTATTTTTCATTACACTTGCGCGTAAATTTGCTTGATTTGATTGCATGGTGGCTAACATGACTATAATGCCCCAACTAAAACCCACGGCGCCTTTTTTCTTTCCATTACAGCCATGGTCGGTAAGGAGTTTTTTTTTATTTGTAGGATGACATACATCCTTGCATAGGTCAGGTTTAACTTCAAGCAAATGTTATCTAAACAGGAATTTCATTGGCTGAACATGCTACTTAAATATTTATTAATAAGAATTTCTTATAATTAATTGATTTTAATTATTTTCTGTATAAAAATTTACCATTTTTCTTTAATCCATCGTGGCTGCATGCGTGTTTGCTTTTTACATCATTTTAGTTCGAGTAGTATTATCTATGGAAGAATTAGTAAGAAGCACTATCGAAGACATTTTGTTATGGTATCCAAAAAAGAAATTACTTTCAGTCCTGACTGTATGGCGCATTAGTGACTTTGCCTTTTCCAATGGAAAAGTACCAAAAAAAAAAACAAAAAGAAACCCGCCATTTGCCAAATCCATAATTGTTGTGTTGTGAACATTGTGAACCACATTTATATTGTATTTATTTCCTCGCAAATGTGATGATAAAGATTGCATGTATAACTCGAGTTTTGTATTTTTTAACCGTCGTTAATACACAATGTACTATTTCAGGCCGGTGATAATCGAGGTGCCAATCTTTACGACATCGTGTCGTGAACGTGAGATCGTCGTGCTGCGGTCGGACACCGGCGACACCTGGCAGGACCACTATCTGCACAATAACGACAATCCCATCATACAGGTATAAGACATTGACATTTTATACCTAGTGATTATTCTATAGATTTGTATAGGCTACCTTGTTAGTACTCAGATAAATACTTCGAAAGAAAATGGTATAATCTCAGTACAGAGCACTAAAAAAAACCGACTACGAAAGTTGAAACATGACGAGGAGGGCAGAGTACGTTACTGGGTAATGAATTCCTTATATGTAATCATCGAGTATATAACCAGAAATAGAGACGAAATAGGGCCAACTCATCAAGCAAATGGGCCGTATATCACTTTTAAATATCAACTCTCGTTTGCGCTGAAATCACAAATTAGAAAGCTGAAATAGAGTACAGCACCACAATTTATCTGTGTGTACGTCTCCGTATATTCCAACAATATTCTGTATTTATTGTAATAAAGATAATATCTTTAACAATGGGAGCTGTTCCATTCGGTGGTGTGGGAAAAACAGCAAAACATCTAATTACAAAACAAACGGTATCACATTTCATCGGTAATTAAATATTAAATGTGTAATTTTTCAATTTTCGTTCATTATAGGAAAGCTCAAGTTAAACTGGCTGATTTGAAGTGAAACAATTGACGACACCCGTCAATTGTTTGGAATTCGGGCTGGCCAATCGGAGCGCAGTTGTCACTCTCTCACTCTGAATGGTTTTCAAACAAATTAAATGATATTTCGTCTCTATTTCTGGTTATATACTCGATGTATGTAATGTGCCAGACAACACACCAATTACCTGGTCTCAAACTAGGGAATTCCCTATACTAGGAGTAGCTCCGGGGTACTTGTATGTAGTAAAGAGAGCCCTAGCACGTCTCTCGCAAATGGATTCTTTATGAGTATATGAAAAGACATAAAACCAAGGAAGACTATATTGACTAATACATATTATTATGCAGGAGGCCCTTCAACGTGAGCGACAAGAGCATGGCCCTGGCGGCGAAACACTCGGTGAGAATGGCGAGCGCGTCTGTCGCATAGTGACCTGCGATTTCCCCCACTACTTGGCCGTGGTATCCCGTGTCAGGCAGGAGGTGCATATCATCGGCCCGGAGGGAGGCACTGTGTCCAGCGTCCATATACCACAGGCAAGAAAATATCTAAACTATTTGCTTAATTCAGTGGTACATTTGATATGAAAATTTGCAAAAAAGTGTTCCCTATTTTTACAATATAGTTTGACAATTTGTTTACAGGAATAATCGTAAAAATTCAAAAGGAAAAGGTTTTTCACGTTAGAAAGTAAACATTTGGAAAATGTTATTGTAGATATACACAACAATTTTTGGTCTTTGGTTTTCACGATTATTACTCGTTACAAGTCGACTGTGAACTGGTAACTGGTACTATCTCAACTGTGATAACTTTATAGGTGAAGAAAACAATTGTTTGCGTCATTTATATAGCATCTGGTTTATTAAATAAAAATACGTAGTGTACATAGATACATGTATAATAAAAACTACGTATTTTTATTTAATAAACCAGGTGCTATATAAATGACGCAAACATTTTTTTTCTTCATCCTGTAAAGTTGACCAAATTGGGATAGTACCGATTGCCAGTTCACAGTCGAAATGCAACTATTTCGGATCTAAATAGTAGAGATCTAAATATATTTGTTTTTTAGGGACCTATAATAGGTCCGAACCGATGGTTTCTTTGACAAATTAAATATACGCGATTTAGATCCGAGAAAATAGTTTCATTGCCTATACAAACATTTTACTAAATTATTTTAATTATTATTTAATATGATGACGTCAATGAATAAAGACCACAATGAATAGGGACGAAATCAGAGCCTATATATGGCGATGCTGTAGTGGTATTTGATATTGCACTGAAAAGCTAATCCACAGTAGTCTGCCATATCATTTTATAGTCTCTTAATGTAGAAACGCATCATGGTTCCACATTAAAAATGTATATGACTCAATACAGTGCGTTCGGTTTCAATAACAATACGTGGTGGGCTTTAGGTGCAGGCGCAGTTCCCGCCCGCGGCGCTGACGAAGCGCATCCGCGTGGGGCTGCAAGCGCACGAGCCAACCGCCGAGCTGCGCAGGCGCGCGCTACCGCGCTCTGTGCAAGTGTCGCCAGTCATCACCGTCGAGCCGCGCAGGCGGAAGTTCCACCGTTCCATTACGCTCTTCACACCCCTGCCATCACAGGTAATATCTCGAAAGTTGCACTGCATTATCCGTGATGCTCAAAATACTGTGCCGCGGAACGGAATGGAAGTGAATTTTTGTAACGGAATTCCATGTACGGACAACAGCACATCAGACTAGACATTTTTGTTCGAAAATCGCCTCCAGTGCAACGGAACAAGATACGTCAATGTGTAGCTTGATGTGCTGTTGACTGTACATAGCATAAAGGGCTTTATGTCAAATGGAAAGTGCCGAGACTGCGCGAATTCTCCAGAAGACGCGTGACGTCTTCCCTGACTCGTAAATTAAATTGAGCATTACAAATCGCAATACGTAGTCGAATTACATATTAATAGAAGAAACTGTGTTACTATTAATAGTATAAACACAGATAATATAATAATATGTATATATGTCCTCCCTTCTTGTCAAATATGCTTGGTGGAAACATTTTACAAACAAGTTTTCTCTTAAGAAGACAGTCATAATATCATTTATTGCAATATGTGGTACAGAAAAAGTAATATTGAATAAATACACAGTCCTACGATCGTGCCCCATACAACCGAAGCTCAATCCCATTTTGAATATTAACTAATTAAACTCAGTGATATTCAGTAGATTTGTCAACTTCATTTGATATTTAAATAATTAATTTATTAACTTTAAATAATTAATTTGTTAAAATTATATAATCACGGGACAAATTATACAAACGGAAAACTTTTGACAATTACACAGACACAAATAAAAATTACAGGCATTGGGCATTTTTTTTGTTTAAATTTGGACAAACAGTAACAGTAGCTTCGCGTTTTCAAGTGTAAAAATTTTACCCGTCTAAGTCAAATAATCATTTACTCCATAGGCAAAATGTTTACACTTGAAAACGTCATTCTTTAAGCTACTGCTCGTTCGCTACGCTGACCTTCACTAGGAAGAAACTCTAGGGATTGGTCTTTTTAAATAAACTTAAATGCTACGGAATACACTTTGAATCATAATTGTGTGGAATCTAGACTCTTGTTGTCTTTCCATACTGCTTTATCTAAAACGTACTTTTCAATTTTGTAATATGACTTGTGGAATAAATGATTATTTGAGTTTGAATGAATTCCTTATAAAAAACGTTATACCTGCACATTTACTACGTCATGCCAAACAAGTATATCCTATTAACATGCACTAACAGCATGATTTCATTGGAATGGTGTAGGATGGCAAGATCGACCGCGCGGTGGCCACCACCAGCCTGCGCCTGCTGTGCTCCATCATGGGCGGGCAGGCACGCGCCGTGTGGGAGGACGTGACAGGCTCCACGCCGCTCACACTCACCGGCGACGTCGCCTCCTTTACCACCACCGTTTCCGCCAGGTACCGCACCAAGTATTTTTTATTTAATTATTAATTCTTCAGGGTTTTACTACTAATTATGGCCCGGACGTTTGTCCGTCTCTGTTGTCGCGTGATTTTCGATATTATTTTGTTACTAAAAAGTCCGGAGTTTCTTGTTAATGTCAGGATTTTGTCCGGAGTATTCAAATTTTTCTAATTGTATGTAATTTTGATTTTAAATTGTTCTATGGATTATAATACTCCGAAATTCCGATTCGATTTCAATTTGAATTTGGATTACTCTGTACAAACTCAATAGTTCCGATTTTCTTTCTTTTTTTTTTTCAATTTCAGCGCTCTCCAAAGCGGTGGTTTTGCAGTGTCGTAATTTATTCTTTAGTCGTATTTTATTTATTTTTTCAGATTCTGGCTAATGAACTGCCAAAACATGAGCGACGCGACCAAATACGCTACCGAACTATACAGGTAAACATTTATAATTTATTCTGATGACCACGAAATAAGAAATTAGTGGAAATGGTGTCGCCATACGTACACGCATATAAACTAATCTTACCACTACTAAGGTAATATAATCTTAATTAGTATAGAGGTAATTATCAAACAAAATTGGTCCTATAATATATATCTTGTGGGAAAAAATTAAACTTATTTGAATGCTAAGTAAGGTTTACTACAAACGTCGATACTACATTTAAGTCTTTAAAAAACTACATAAGAACTATTGAATATTTGCGCCATCTAGTGTTGAGTAACGGAACTCCTAAGCCAAACAGTTCATTATTGGTTGGGTATGATAGATATATCATAACAATGACTACAAGGGAACGCCTACTTCACATTTCCAACAGTTTGTTATTCTGTGGTTGACACCAACAAAAGTTCCTCTTCTGGCCGTACAATAGATGTCATTAAAGATATCCTTTAGTAATGACTAAAGTATTGACTACGACATCCACGGGAAGACGCTGTGATTTTATAGTATAGGCAAACAAATCATATGAAATATGATTTTGAATAATTTCACTATAACAACAAAAATTATGGGCTATAATTTAACGCCATCTAATTGAAACCAACTAAACTTGTTTGTAATTTGTTATAGAGAGATGTTGCTAGTCCCATTCGAAGTCCGCATTGTTGTATTGGGCAAACGACTGGACGCGCTCGAAGGAAGACTGCTGGTTCTTTACATCACTGACAGATATTCTTACGAGACTCTGTTGCAGCAGGTACAGTTAACATCATAGAACTATTTATTTATTACAAGTAATTAAAAGTAATTTTGATCTACCGCCTCTGAAGTCGTGGGTTCGAATCCCGGCTTGCACCATTGAGTTTTCGGAATATATGTGAGAAATTTAATTTGAAATTTACTATGACCTTTTCGGTGAAGGAAATATCGTGATGAAACCTACACGTCGAAGAAGCTTCACAACCCTCGGAAAACGTGAAGTCCCCACCCGCATTGGCCCCACGTGGCGGACTATGGCCTCAACCCTAGTCTGAAAAGAGACCCGTGCCCTGCACTGGGACGTATTGCTGATGATGATAATGATTAATTAGTACAAAGGATTCTTTAACCTTTTGAGTGCCAACGACCTCAAATCGGGAACTCGTAAATACCCCAGATTGCGCCGTGCCCTTATCGCGTCTTGCCAACGAGTCTATATCGGGAAATCGTAAATACCTCAAATTGTGGCCATAGTGGGTTTTGAAACGGCAAAATTTCTATATTTTATTGAATTTTTTTTATTTTTTTTATTTTCTGCAAAAAAAAATAGTTTTCCGTACCTTTGGCAACAAAAAATAGCTTAAATCGCGATTTTAAATACGGACGGATTCGCTGATTGGTCGTTTTCCCGCATTTTTTTTCTTTGTCTGCAATTTTCGGGGTGTCAAATTTCAGGGTGGCAACTGAAAAGTTAAAGTGTGCTTTTTCCGAGTAATAAAGTATTATATAAATTCAAATGATTTGGTAAAAACTGAACATCAAAATGTAATCCATTTTTTACGACTTGTAAACTTATCTTTTATGACCGAAGTTAACTATCTATTTCTATAGCCTATTTATTACGTATTAAAATTGTACAGGAACACTATACGGAGATCGCCCACTCAACGGCCGTGACCCTGCTGGACACAAAGGACGTGTACTTGGAGTTCTCCGGGAACCTCGTGCCCGTCACGAAGTCCGGCAGCCAACCTGTCTTCGCTTTTGAGGTAAACGTCAAACAATCACAGGCGAACTTTCAAGACCTAGTTTCTTTTATAGCTAACATTAATATCGTAAGTTGTCGGGTACAAAAATGTCTAATTTAATATCACCCTCATACTGTCGCCACTTTGTTATTTATTGGATTTAGACTAGACTGTAATACCTATGTTATGTACCTGGTTCAAATATTCTCAATGTAGATGTTGAGGGACGACAAAAGATACTTAATTTATAGGTATACATATAAGTGGGTAGAAAGACACTGAACCATGATTAAAACGTTCATGGTTCACTACATTGCGCTATGACGAGGAACCGTAGAGGTGTACCTCGTATGTCGCGTACAAACCCCCAGCACATCTCGACTATGTACTGGGGCGGGACGCCTGAGAGGTGCTCCGAGTGGACCTCCAACCTCCCCTTTAGTCCAACCTCTGCTCAACAGGTTTCAAGCTTCGATAGCTATTAATCGCGGTGCAAGTGTACATGCCAGCTCATACCGACCCGATTGATGCCAACGATAGGCACCCACAGTCATAAGCGTCAATGAGGCTAGTCTACTGCGGGTCGAGCCATCACGTGGCAAATTGATAGTCATAGAACATGTTTCGTAACAATATTAAACTCGACAATTAACTCAGTTGTGTGTCTATGCATGTCGTAAAGTTAAACAGTACATAGAGGAACTTACCAGTTGTTTGTCTCTTAGGGTACATTCACTTACACAGCCATATCTTCAGTTCTAACCAAACTAAAGTCCACTCTGTTCCCGCCATATTGCCGTTGACGTTACTGCCGTCTCGATAGTGTCAAAATAATAAGTTAGCAAAGGCAAAGCAGTGTTACCACAATACAAAAATTGGGTGAAGTTCGTTTACTCACCAAATGTTTGATTATCGCGTGATTCGCGACATATGTAAACTGGATTTTAGGTTTTAAATAGGGGAATATCCATCGTGCCCTAGTGATCATTAAAAAATATCATCTTGTTCACAGTCGTTCAAAGAGAACCGAGTGGAGTTCACAGTGCGCGTGAAGCACCACGAAGAGAAACCTGCGGGTAGAATCTACTTCATGAATGAACCTAAGGTAAATTATGCGCACTCTATTGTTATTATTGATAACAAAATAACCTGATCTTGTATTTATCTGCCATGGTGACTGTACTGGAACTCTCTAGAAGTTTCCATCTAAAAAAGAAAACAATTTTTCATTCTACATAAACTAATTACAATAATCGTGAATATTTCAGGTGCCGAAAGGTGAACAGTCGCAAACACCAGCTTGCGTGTTGGACGTTGAACTGCCGGAGAGAATCGCACCTAGAGCCGGCAAGAGCCAGGTCGACTATCTCAACTTGGACCAATCTGGTGAGATTGATCGATTTAACTATCTGATTTATTTCGTAGAGCGGATAACAATATTTATATACTAGACAACTCTTAACACGCGTAAAGCCAACTTTGGAATTGGTTGAACGAGGATTGCCTGAAACAGTTTATTGCTTCAAAACGATTTTCACTTTATGAATAGACAAAGGTAGATATATCCATACAGGTGACATTTATACGTAGCTTTGTCTTCCGCAATTAACGAGAGCATCACAGTCCCGTGGCTAACTTTACACGTTGGCTTTTGCTATTGATAAAACTTTGTTAATGGTACAGGTTTCGACGCCCTCAATGACGAACTAAGCCACTGGGGAGAGCACAACCACAGCATCGGCCCACCTTCGATTCCTCATGACAATAGCCAAATCAATGGACATGTAAGTTCTTACTCTTACGTAAACATACTAAAACGTCATTCCCTTTTCAGTGGTAGAAAAATACTGCATGGAGTAGCACATGATACAACCCTGGAGTTAAATTAGAAATTTCTTCATTATTGACCATTATTTCCACACAACTCACCTATTCCTTTTTTACAGGACAAGATTATAACGAATGGTGACGTCAAACCTACAATAACAAAAGATGATAAGCCTGATAGCCCCAAGCCGCAAGTTAACGGAAACACCCCTAAAGTTGACTCTAACAAAACCAAAGCCACTTTTGACTCGGATGAAGACAAGACCCCGATTAATACTCTTGAAAAGGGCGATAAAGGTAAAAAGAAAGACGGTGGCTTCTTCGGCGGTATCGCGGGTAAAGTTAAGAATGTTTTCGGCCACAGTGAAGATAAGGGAGATGATAGCAAGGAATCCTCTCCCAAACCTCAACCGAAACGCAGAGAATCCAAAGAAAAATCACCACCTAAACCCGCACCGCGAATCATCGAAGAGAGTTTACTAGACAAAGTCGAAGATATGTTCAAGGATCTCCATTCAAAACCGCCGAAAGAAGACGATATTGAAAGTAAAGTTTACGCTACGAAATTAGTAGTAGAAGAAGACAGACCCACTAATCTACAAGAAGATATCTACGCGCAGTACGCCAATATGCAACCAGTTGAAACTCCTATTCGCACAAAAATGACCGATCCTTTCACAGATTATTACGATTGCTGTGATGGTAAATTAGGCTATAAACATACACATGACGAAACGTCAACTCTAGTCGATAGAATTGAAACCGCTAAATTCACTGCAAAAGAAAAGTTAAATGATCTAAGCGACAATGTTCAAAGTGACGTCCAAGATGATTTGGATAAACTAAACAAAGAAAAAGATAATATTAAACAAAAAACTGTAGAAGTAACTGATGATATTATTGAAAAATGTGAAAAAGTTAAATCGGATGTAAAAGATCAGGCTCAGAACACGAAGCAGGCAGCTAGTGACAAAATAAGTAACCTGAAACGTTCAGCACATGAAGCATACGACGACGTTAATGCTGAGGCAGCTGAAATTCACGGTAGTCTAAAGAAATCAGCTGACAATGTTAAAGAAAATCTGCAACATAAAGCTCATGAAATTGATTTCCTGGCCAGGGAACAATCAGAAGAACTGAAAAACCGTGGCGATGAAGTGGCTCACAACTTGAAACAACAAGCTCGAGATGGAGCTAATGATGTATCAGAATCATTACAAGGTTTAGAAGAGAACTTGAACAGAAAATCAAAAGAATTGACAGCGGAGGCAAAACTAGCTATAGACAATGTAAAAGAAGCGGCAAATGAAAGACTGCACGAAGCAAACGAGTCAATCGAAAACGCTAAGGGAAAAGCAGACAAAGCCAAAGATGAAGTAAATAAGAAAGCGAAGAAGAAGAGCAAGGAAGGAAAAAACTTCTTGACGGGCTTCGTGTCTGGCATATTTGGCGAAAAAGACAAAATAGAGAATGAAGTTAAAGGAAAGGCCAAGGAGGCAAAGAAAGCTGCTGAAGATTTAGCCGATCAGGCAGCCGCAAAGAAAGAAGATATTAAAGAAAGTGCTGCTAAAAAACAAGATGAATTCAGAGATGGTGCCCAGCATTTAGCTCAGAGCGCGCAGGCTAAAAAAGATGAACTAGAGAAGACAGCATACGATACAGCAGATAAAGCGAAGAAAACCATCCAAGACAAAACAAATGATGCCATCAAGACGGCACAAGAAAAAAAAGATCAAGTAGAGCACACAATTCACGACGAAAAGGAAAAACTAGGAAGTGCTCTTCACGACAAAGCCGAAGAAGCCAAAACCGTGGCACTGAAAGCAAAAGAAGATCTAATTGGGATTGGCGACGCTATTCACGATAAAGCTCATGAAGTCAAAGAAGACATAAAAATTCAAAAAGATCGAGTACAAAATGCAGTTGAAAGCAAAGCTAGCGGATTGAATGAAAGTGCAGGAGATTTCGTACAAACCACGAAAGATAAAACAAGTGAGTTAAAACAAGCGACACAAGAAAAGATGGAAGAAACAAAAAAGGCGGTGAAAGACAAAAAAGATGAGGTTGTCGATGGAACCAAAAACTTAATAGAACAAGCTTCAGCGAAAAAGGACGAAATCGAAAATAGTATTGCGAAAAAGGGCGAAGAATTTAAAGAAGCTTCGGAACACCTAGCGCAAAGCGCGCAGGCCAAGAAAGATGAATTTGCAAAATCTGTACATGATAAAACACATGATATCAAACAAGAAATCTGCGACAGGAGTAATGAAATCGGCGCAGCTATTAAAGATAAGACAGGTGAATTAAAGCAAGCAGCACATGATAAGGCAGAAGAAACAAGACAGGCCGCCAAAAACAAAAAAGATGAAGTCGTCGAAGGAACCAAAAACTTAATAGAACAAGCTACAGCGAAAAAAGACGAACTCAAAGATAATATTACGAAAAAAGGTGAAGAATTTAAAGAAGGCTCGGAACAACTAGCACAAAGTGTGCATGCCAAGAAAGATGAATTCGCAAAAGCTGTACAGGACAAAACACAAGATATCAAACAAGGAATCTCAGACAAGACGCATGAAATCGGTGCAGCTATTAGCAATAAGTCATCGGAGATTGGTAATGCTATTCATGGAAAAAAGAACGAAGTACAAAACGCAACTAAAAATGAAATGGATAGGATAAGACAGGAAGCTGAACAAACTACAGAAGAAATCAAAAGATCAGCGGAAGAAACACTTAATGCAGCGGCGGATAAGAAAGCTGAGATCTCAGCTGACATTGGAAACAAATGGGACGCCGTACAGAAATCTGGTAAAGAGGGAATAGAGAATATTCAGCAAGCTGCAAGTGGCAAGGCTGATGATTTGCGAAGGTCGACGAAACAGGTGTTTGATCATGCACAAGACTCGTCTTTAGGCGTCTTCGACAAGGTCGAAAGCGCTTCTAAGGACAAAATGAGCGACGCCAAAGATACGTGGGAAGACTTGCAGAGTTCGACTCGGGACACTTTCGCAGATTTCAAGGATGATGTTCACAGCTGGGAAAACTCCGCTCAGGATACATTACATAGCTTCCAGAGTTCAGCTGGAAATACTTTTGATAGTTTAGATGATTCGGCGAGGGAATTCATTGGTGGAGGTCAACAAACGGCACATAATGTTGAAAATGCGGGGAAAGAACTTTTCGGCGAGGCAAGGGATAGTTTTGAAGGGTTTCAAGTATCTGCGGATAACAAACTTGAGGATGTCAAAGGGGCGGCAAAAGAAAGGCTGGAAGAGGCGAGCGCGAGACTGGGAGAAGTGGTGCAAGGTGTGACTGACGATACACGGGAAGTGGAGATGGCGGTCGCCAGTGAAGCTGACGAATTTACAAGCAGTCTCAACGATTTGGGCAACTCTGTCTTTGGATTTTCAGGCAAAGGTAGGCTTGTTAATAATTTGGTATAGACACTCACTTGTAAATAAGTAAATGTTGCTCGTCCCGAACGCTCTGCATTTTTCTAATAACTCTGACCGTCGTCTGATTAGAATATTTATACATAATAATAAACAGTAATTAATTATAGGTAAAAGTTACCATGATTTGAAACTTTACCAGTATTGTTATCAGGTTTCATGAAGGATTCAAGCACCAAATTATTGGAAGCAGAAAAGTCACAGTCATCGCCATCACCACAAAAGAAGGGTTCCGGGTAAGTCTGTTAATTCATATCTATATCATTATTAAGAACATTAATGTTATATAAATGTAAATAATTGCACGAGATACCTAGGCACAGGACTAAAATCACGAGGATGTATCCAATACATTTCGAGTTCAAATGTCCATCCCACTATTTAATATCACTGTATTGAAAATTGTGAAACCGATCAATAAAAATTCAAATTTAAATTAAGGCTGTAAATCGAGTCAAATTCTTCGTCAAAGCGTTTCTTGCATCGAGTATATACTCGACGGCTTCTTGCGAAACAAAAATCAACAAAGTTCGTGTAGAATAATTCTAACGAACGTAAAAGTTATATCTGAAGACAACATAAAAATTGGTTGCTGTATTTACTAAAAATGCCTACTTCTTTGGGAATCACCATACTTATCGACACAGAATCGACTATTAATTATTTATTTCGACGATTAAGCCAATCGAAAATACCTTTATGTCATGCAATACAAAAGAAGATGTTGTCACCGACGGAAGGCGAAACGCAGAACTTCTTTTTTCGTTCTTATTGCATGAACTTTTTTAACCAAGGAAATTACTGCCTTAACCTTAACTATTTCCGCCGCCAAGCGGTAATGTGAGCATCACTGCGTTCTGGCTTTGAAGGGTAAGGATGCTGGTGGAATTACAGGCACATGGGACGTAATCAACTTATACCTCAGTGATTTTGATGTAAACCTCTGAGTGGTACTGCAACTATTATGAACAGGTGTGTCACTTACCACCAATCGCACGACTTGTTCGTTCCGTCACCTGGTGTCACAAAAAAAACTTAATCCTTTTTCTATTCAACTCAAACCGATTCGGCCTCGATAAGTGTAATGACTCCCTTTTGTATAATTAAATGAGTTTCATAGTTTTCCCCATAACATGTGAAATGGTCACATTGCCTGCTCTAACTCCACGCACGCGTTTACAGAATACCCAAGCTAAAGCGGAAGGGCAAGAAATAAGCGACGCCGCGGCGACCGACATGTATGATATAGTTGCTTAGTTTTACTATTTATTGTTGTTGCTATACACATTGTGGTACGATTATTTCATTTCTTAATTCCGCGTAATCAGTCAGATCAAAATTACTACGAGTGAATTATTGTTTTAGGGTTTACAATAAACTAATAAATATCGGTATAAATTCCGATATTTTTTATTGGCAATTCTCTGAACAAAACCTTCACAAATAATTGATTTACTTGTTGAGTCCTATATAATTAGAAGGCAGAGTAGATATTTATTACGTTGTTGAAGAAATGGAATAATCGTATTTTTTAAGTAGGTACACTGTATATGTCACAGTATCACTCATATTCCAGTGTATAAACGATATTATGTAAAAGAGATTATTCTGAAACAAGTCGAATGTACAATCGAGTACAGAATTTTATGACATAAAAATTTAATTTTTGACTAAATCAAGTCCTAGAACCTTATTAAAAATATGGTATATATTATTCTACTATCTTAAAGATTTATTAAATCACCAGTAAATAATATTAAACAATTTTAAATCATGGCTACACTTGCCTAAATCATTTTAAATAAATAATTTTTTGACAATCAAATTTGATAAAACTTTTTGTTGCATATTTTTGAAATATTGTTTTAATAATTTAAAATTTTTAATCGGATATTTTGCATTTTTAATTAATAATTATTATAATAATAAGTTATAAATGTCACTATCAGTGTGTTGCGTAATTTATTCTATTTTAAAAAGTGTTTTTCTCTATAAATTTTACATTTTGTAAATTATAATTGTCACATAATATAAACGCAAATATAAATAAAACACGCTCTATAGTTTACTATAATTACTTACTTTCTTTTGCCGCGAATTTAAATAGATCTGCTAGATTATTTATTTTTGTATTGTATTCAGTACATACATTATTGATGTCAATTCTGATGAATGAACAATTTAGAAACCTAAACTAATTTGCGGATGATAAGTGTCCTTTTAAACTGTCTATATTAGCAACGAATCTGAAATGATCTATGACGATATGAATTTGGGCATGGACGGAAAAATATAACCACAAATAATTGGTGTCATATACAATCTCTTTGAGAAAGGCAACACTATACATATTTAAAGCTATAATATTAGTTTAGGTTTAGACGAGCAGTAGAATCGACATCATAATGTAATAATTATACATTAAGACATCAGAAACGAAACTGTGTCACAAAAATGTCGTCCGTGTATTTTTAATTTAAGAAAACATTAAAGATTAATTTAGTCGTCTCTTTTATTTTACGCTTAAATTATGCAAATAAACTCTCGAAAATAAATAATAAATATATATATGTATATTTTTAATATATTTTCAAATACACGGATTTTTTTACCTCAGAACAATTGTTAATAGGAACTTAGTAATAATTTGTCTCGCTCACACCAATTCATAGTTTGCACCGTTATGAGTAAAGAGATCTAAGCCTAAATTTAAAATATTGACGGCAAAATCTTGATATTTAACTTTATATTTAAGGGCAATATTTGCCTTTGGAATGTAAGTAAAATTACATTTTATTAACAATTGGTACGAGGCATTAGTTTAAAAACGCTTGCGTTGCTTGTGATGTCTCTCTGTAAGTTGTTAATTTTAAGATATTATATGAGACGTTCTCGATCATTCTTGCCTTTTTATTTTGCTTGGTCGCATTGTTTTTACTTCATGAGCATACTTGAACTGCTGTGCTTTTTAAATAGTTTAGTTTTATATATTGAAATTGGCTATCACTCTACTAGCCGAAACAAACTGATTACAATCTTTAGACAAATACTTTAAAAAATTTACTATAAAACCAATATTTTTGTTATTACATTTCTACAAAAATATCTGTAAAAAGTACGCTTGCAAAGAATTTATTATATATTATTATTAATTAAAGTTTTTCAGCTTCTTATATTGAGTTCCAGCCTTCCAAATTGTTGTTTCTCACGCATTGCACATTTCCACTTCCATCGAAATACTGCATCATACAAAATTTGTAAAATTGTAAATAGCTATACAAAATTAATTTCTGGATTTTTTTAATTTGTGATTTCATTTTGGATTTAATATAATAATTTAATAATTTTCTCAACAGCGATCTTAGTCAGTATTTTTTTTCTTCAAAATATTAACTCACTTGTTCCTCTTTGCATACTGTTAGTGTCAGAATATACCGCGACTAGTTTGCATATGCCACTATATACAAAAAAAAAAGATTAAGTGTAGTTGAATTGTATCCTTTACTTCTGTCATGCAGTTATTTCGATATCATTGTGCATATTCTCACAATAAAGCACGTGGTCACATAATTCACATTCACCGCACTTTTTGGTAAGTTTTAGTTTAAATTTGTTTTTGACAATTTTACTTCTTTAAACCTATGTGATGGTAAAAATTCAAATTGTTTTTAAGTGTGATTTTCCGTTTTTACTACTTTTTTGTTTATTTTTATAACAATGTTGTTATGTTGTTATTTATTTTTATAACATCTTGGTTTTTTTTATAACAAGAGCAAATTCTGAGTAGCATAAAATATTATTTAAAATTTTAGATTTGATATTAATAATAAATGTTTTCACATTACAGTTTTTTCTCCAAATTAAGACGCAGCCATTGAAAACAAGGATTTAATGGACGAATCGCTTCAGTAAATTTTAGATATACTTAGCTTTAAGGAAACGAATGTTAACTAAAGCATGTAAGTTTCTCAATATAGACATGCCAGGAAATGTGACTGTCTTTTTTAATCTTATAATTTTTATGGTGTTAATACATCATAATTGAGTAAATTTAAAAAATGGCAAATCACTTTTCTTTATCATGTTACTAGAGCGTTTTCAAATTGCTGCACTGCATTTTGTTGAAATTATACGTGAAAGTACACTTGAGAGAAAACCGAGCCACCTTTATTTTTTACGTAATGCTGATTGTTTCTAACATGCCTGACGATGCAAAAATGTAATCTACCTGTAGACGAGTGTACAAGACGTCTTATTTACTAATCGTGTGTGTGTGTTCGATCGTGTGCACAAACCGTAATTATATTCAAGTTTGGTAATGGCGCATTTACATTATGCAAGTAAGTTACATGTCATAATTTTGCATAATGAAAATGCATTTTTATACCATAGCTAAATAAACAAGCTGTTACCGTAGGTGACTCTTAGGGTCGTATTCCAGAACTATACTCAATGCTCAAGTAAGGACTTGAGTATGATTTCAAGCATTGAAAACATGACCCTAATGGCAAAGACTTTAGTATGATTTCTAGTGCATTAAATCACACTCAAGTCCTGACTTGAGCATTGAGTACAGTTCTGGAATACGACCCTTACTCGAACCTATTAAAAAATTAGGCTATAAGACCGTTAGGGTTAACATTTCAGTACATAAAAAGTTCAATATTATAAGCATGTTAATGAAGGTTTTATGGGAATCATTAAAATATTTCTAATGCTCATTCTGACCAAATTATGTTTCTTAATAAGTATCATCACTTTATTTCTGGTGAAAAGTCAAACTAAATATGTTTTAATATCCGAGGATACGAGATTGCGTCAGAGATCTTCCGACTTACTGGTTAACCTGAGGGTCATTTTTTAATGCCACAAAGCGACAATATCCATTTAATTACATTGTAGATACCCCTTGAATTTGAGTTGAGTTATGGCAATGATTAAAAAATAAAATAAAAAATATCAAATTTTTGTTTTTACTTCCAATTACGAAACTTTTGTTTTAAATACACTACCGTAATAAGGTAATTGCTAGACAAATGTCAAAAATATGTATTTCTGAGTGAGTTTGTTATCCACTCTATATGTGTCCTTGAAGTTTAGGTAAATATAAAATATAAATATATCGTTTACATATTCCGATATCTGATGATTGAACAACAACGTTTTTCCGGGCTCAGTTTATTCATTATCAATTATTGTAAGTGTGGCACAATGAACATACGTGCCAAAAACAATCACGGGAATTCCCGCAGTTAACGTACATAATGTTCATTATGCTATGTACAATTTCTTTACAAAAATTCGCTTCCATTCTGTCGTCGTCAATGTATCAAAATTAAATAAATTAATTAATTAAAATATATCAAAAGTCTTTGTTGGAAATTGTACCTTATATCATTTACATAGAGTTTAAAACAAGAAAGTGGCAGTTAGTTCATAATGGCATACTTTAGTATTGACTTTTGACCTGCAATCTAAATAAGAAATCTGACAAATGCAAAAAAAAACATTTGATCCAACTTCTTTTTGATTTACGTGCAAATTAACGAAGTGTAGGAATAACAAAATTTTATAAAAGATTTTAGTCCTAAGTAATACTAACTATAATCTCAATTTTAAATAATATTCAGTCTTTTACATAATGTATTTGGTCATTAAAACATGTTTTATAGAGAATAGAGTGGTGCTTTCGTAACGTGACCATTAATTGCGTGTACAATAATTGTAATATAAATTGCGTTATTTTGAAAATTCTATAAACATAGAGAGGCCCAATTTATCTACTGTTATAGAACTTTCTAGAAAAAGAAATGAGCGCGATTGGCCCCAAAGCCTTTCAGGGTGAACATAAATGGACCTTAAGTTTTTTTTTATATAGAGACTATGTTTCGCTTTATCTACAGTCCTTGCAGTAGTTCATATTACATCGCGTATTTGGTATAGTATGTGCTCTGTACATAAAGAAATTGCTGATTTTCGTGAATAGTAGCCCAAAATAAAAATATTTAATTTATGTATTTAGAATGTTCTAAAACGACGAACGAGACAACATTGGGCGGTACAATTCGACGATATCTTTCGCAGGAATTGAGTGTTTTTGAAATAGGCTACTATTCTAGAAAGCCATCGAAATGTTCACTACGGGTTATGTGATTATTTAAACAATTAGATAACTAAGGTACTCTGAAAGTACTAAGAAATTGTTGAAATGTGGCTTAATGGTAAATCCATTCCAATGCCGTAAAACTAATATACAAATCACCTCATACTATCACTTCACTTCACTATAATATCCAACTCGCACATAGGTAAGGTAAATTTTTTTATATTTACCTTCATAAAAATTTTAAAACATAAGTATTGTGCTATTATTTTAAAGGCGGGGCTTTGATAATATACTAGGTTTCAGGTAAAATTCAATTATTCTGTACTGTAGATATTGAACGGAAAACCTTCGCAAATATCTCTTCGCCACTGTGGTACCGTAACTAAAAATGCTATAGCAGAAAATGGATAGAGCTATTTTTTCCCTTTTACAATAAATATAAGTTTCGTTTTCGCATAATGTCATTGGTATGCTTTTTGTTCCACTATTTCGGAATCTTTTAAAAAAACTAGATGTTACTGTGCATGTGTGTGTGTCTATTTATTTATTTATATTATTTTCATATGTGTATGTGCAGTATGTGTATTAAATACGTATTCTGTTGCGCCCTCAATTTTATCTTACAGTTTTTCCTGTAATCCGAAGGTTGTCTGGAATATATTGCTATTTAGCAATAAGGACGCTTGTTGCACCGGTATTTATTATTTTTTTGTATTATGTATTTGTCCCAGTGGATCATGTAATGGTGGTCATACTAGCATGTCAGTGTGCAATGAAGAATATTTGTATTGTATTGTGTATTTTTTTATTCCGTGTGTAGTTTATGAATGTAAAATATTATAAGAAGACATTCTGTGGTTACGCTTTTCTTGGCTTCTCAAAACTTTTATATCCTAAGATAGCCTGTAAGAAATTGCTACTTAGCAATGAGGCCATCTGTTGTACGCCTGCTTATTCTAATTTCCTTCCGTGTTAATTTCTAGTATGCATTATATAAAGAATGTTTCATTCATTCAATAATCAGCATAAACAAAAAAGTCCCGCCTTATAGATATTACGCTGTGTTTTAGATGCAAGATTAAAAATATTTTAACGTTAAATGTGTTGTATGATTGGATTTAAATAATGCATTTTATGAAGATCTTCTATTATGTTACATAAATATTTTTTAATATTTAATTGTAATTGTATTTTGAAAATATAACGTTCGTTCGTGATCTTCGTTCGTTGTTAAAAAAGTTCAGAAGTACTGTGATGCCAAAATATATGAAGATTATGTGTAAAGTTAAACATTTTGTTAATTTATTGATAGAGTCTATGTTCACTCTATTTATTGCTTTTTAGTGATAAATAAATAATTATGGCGAATATGCATTTTTATTCGATTTTTCTATTTGTTCATATTACTCGTCCTCTGAGAAACGAAACAATTAAGTAGTACCCGTTTCGCTCATTACAAGGCATTTCTATGGTAGTACGGTAGGGACTTAATACCCACCACGCCACCAGTAGTTCGATTAGAGGGATGATGGGTCCCGTGGGGTTATTTATATATCTTGAAATTATTGTATCATTCATATGACAAAATTATAATTATGTTGTTTATTGCCTGTTAAAGATGGTAGCCTACGGTTTGTCCTACCACCTGTCAAGCAGAGACCGTAGGTTTGAATCCAGACTCGCACCTATTTCTTTGGAATCAATGTGCGAAATTTAATTTGAAACTTTTCGGTTAATGAAAAAACCTCGGCAAACGTGTGAAGACTCGCAACTCGCATTGGGCCAGCGTGGCGGACGACGGCCTAAACCGTCGCCTGAGAGGAGACCGTACCCAGCAGTGGGACGTATAAGTAGGTTGAATGAATTTTAGTTTTCAATCGAATGATAGAAGTATAATTTTTGTTTAGGTAGATTTGAAATTGGGTTGCCCAGAGTACCTTACGACCCCGAAGAGAGCGGCCAGAAGAAAGCGACAATGCATCGAAGTAGTATGAAAATGAGACCAAATTTAGGAAATAGGTAGAGTAAATGCAAAACTGTTTTGACCCGAATTATATATTTTTTCTAAGTCCACCGCCAGCTGTCAAATTAATCTGGACAATGGGAAATATTCCAAACAAACTTAACACTTAACTCTTTTTTAACACGGGCTGTAATTTTTTGTCTCTTTCATACAGAAGACATTATTTTATTACGAATTGGCATAATCCAGAATCCACAGCAAATCTTACCGCGTATTAAAGGGAAATCCATGCATACACTTCGCAGCTTCCTTTTACATTTACATGTGGATCCATGAGATGATCAGTTGGTGTACTAGTGGCCACACGTGTGTCTGCAAATGCAGTACTCCTAAATTGTAATTGTATAATGGGCTCTGGATTATTCACCTAAATCAATTAGAAACAGAATAAGCCCTAAATTTCAAATCGCGCAGAGGCCCTACCAAATGTTAGGAATCCATCGTGTTTTCGGCGTACAAACCACTGCCCTGGCAGTCAATGTTTCCCCACCCACTTTTCGTCTTAAATTTTAATGTTTTAAATACATAACCTTTAACGGCTTACTTGCAGTTTCAAGTATGATTAGAACTTGAAAGATTAAAAGCACAAGAATTACTAAAGCAATATAATAAATCGAATAGGAAAAATACAATATAAACCAAACCTTAACACCACACAGCCTAATCTCCCTCATCACCGCCCTCTTCTTCCTCATCAAACTCGCCTTCCTCTTCGGCGGTGGCGTCCTGATATTGCTGGTACTCCGAGACCAAGTCGTTCATGTTGCTCTCCGCTTCAGTAAACTCCATCTCGTCCATTCCCTCTCCAGTGTACCAGTGCAGAAAAGCCTTGCGTCTAAACATAGCAGTGAACTGCTCCGAAATTCGCTTAAACAGTTCCTGGATAGCAGTAGAATTCCCAATGAAGGTGGCAGACATTTTTAGACCACGCGGTGGAATATCACACACAGCGGTCTTGACGTTGTTCGGGATCCATTCCACGAAATAAGAGGAGTTCTTGTTTTGAATGTTCATCATTTGTTCGTCCACTTCTTTCATTGACATACGACCTCTGAAGACAGCAGCAACTGTTAAGTATCTGCCGTGGCGAGGGTCACACGCTGCCATCATATTTTTCGCATCAAACATCTGCTGAGTCAACTCTGGTACTGTCAAAGCCCTGTACTGCTGGCTGCCACGAGACGTCAGTGGTGCGAAACCGGGAATAAAGAAATGCAGACGAGGAAATGGTACCATGTTCACAGCCAATTTCCTCAAATCTGCATTCAGTTGGCCGGGAAATCGAAGACAGGTTGTGACTCCAGACATAGTTGCAGACACCAAATGGTTCAAATCGCCGTATGTCGGTGTTGTTAATTTGAGTGTTCGAAAGCAAATATCGTACAGAGCCTCATTATCGATGCAATACGACTCATCAGTGTTTTCCACTAGCTGATGCACAGACAGGGTAGCGTTGTATGGTTCGACAACAGTATCAGATACTTTGGGAGAGGGCACAACACTGAATGTGTTCATGATTCGGTCTGGGTACTCTTCTCTGATTTTGGAGATGAGCAATGTTCCTAAGCCAGCACCTGTACCTCCACCGAGCGAATGTGTTAACTGGAATCCTTGCAGACAATCACATCCTTCCGCTTCTTTCCTTACTACATCTAACACTGAATCGACGAGTTCGGCGCCCTCTGTATAATGCCCCTTTGCCCAGTTGTTCCCAGCCCCCGACTGACCGAACACGAAATTGTCTGGGCGAAAGATCTGTCCGAATGGGCCTGATCGTACAGAATCCATGGTGCCAGGCTCGAGGTCCACTAGTATAGCTCTTGGTACATATTTTCCTCCTGTGGCTTCATTATAGTAGACGTTGATCCTTTCCAATTGTAGATCCGAGTCTCCGTGATATGTGCCAGTGGGATCGATTCCGTGCTCGTCGGAGATCACCTCCCAAAACTGTAGGACAAAGAATTCAGTATTAGGATGGTACGCATAATTATTTGCGACGGATTAAGTATGGTTTGTAAAAGAAATGGTGAATACAAATTCCAGATCAACTACTCTCTCTATGGCAGCAGTAAACAACGGAAAGGGATATACGAAATCTTCTAGGATCAGCTGTTATATAAAATTATGACACGAAACATGCATGACATTTCAATACCAAAAAATAAAGTTTATTTACCTTAGCTCCAATTTGATTGCCACATTGGCCTGCCTGTATATGCACTATTTCCCTCATTATTTCGTAATATACGTATTAACTAAATATTATATTAAGTAAATACTTCAAAGCTTTCTACTGTAGTCACTGTTCTTCAACCATACGATAGGAATTCTCGTCCTTCTATGCCGACAGACGTAAAACAAGTGCGTTATTTTCGAAACAGAATAAATTCTACAGAATTTTCAAAATTTTGAATTGACTTTGAATAGACTGAAACGATAAGCAGCCAGTTAAATTCTAGTAAAAAGATCTTCCAACAAGTTTACTGTATAAGAACTTCTTTAGCTTATTAATAACTGCGATTCAAAAGTTACATCACGACTTTGGGGGTAGGTCAATGATTATAAATGCTTTATAGCGTTAAGCGGTATTGTAATTGACATTATTTGAGTTCGACTTAAAATTGTTATTAAGTCCTAACCAGTCTTGTACAGGGTCTTGATCACTTGAGCTGGTATAATTCCATACGCAGGTGATTATAATTTAATGAATTTATGTTAGGTAACTTACACTCATGTGAATCTAAAGACATTTAACCAACTACATATTTTACTTGTTACCGCTTATTACTTCATTTTACCTGTGTTTCTCGCATCGTTCGAATAAACTGCTCTAAAAGAAAAGAGAGAAAACCCACTGCACGTTTATACTATGTAATTACACGCGCGGTTGCTTTCGTGAGCTTAGCATGTGCACGAATTCAATGATCAGCCGTTGCTGAGTACACCGCGTCTACAGGTACTGGAAGTACGCTGACAATACTTCATATAAAATACAAGTTTACTGTCAACGTAACAATCTCTTATGGTGTAAGCGCGCGCCGCTTAGAGCCTGTGCACACGGCGTAGTTCATGAGAGTTTACGGTAAACGCGCGTAATTTGCGCGTATACGCGCTGCAGTCGCGCGAAGCATTTTGATATGATAGTTTTAATTTTAGTATTGTTTGTTAATTTCAGTTAGTATTTGAAATGAAGCAACTACATGAAATTCTAGGTGTAAATTCCAGTGGAGTATATAAGCTTTTTTTTATAAATTATAAGTGCGCATTTGACAGCTTCTTGTTTACACGCGATGTTAGCGCGCATTTGAATCGATTCACTACAGCGTATCTGCGGCTCGTATAAGCGCAGACGACACGCGTGTTCGTGAAACGCATGTCGTCGGAGCGTATAAAATACGCCGTGTGCATAGGCTCTTAGCTGAGCTATTGCTTTCTGCAGAAACAGATCCATAGGGGTGGTACACCCGTCGTGGTGTAGGTGAAAAAAAATTCTGCGACGAATTTGGGTGCTTTAATTTTTTTTCTAACCAGTTATTTCTTTAAGAGAGCTTAGAAACCAACTTTATCTTCTCCGTTCCATCATGATCGTCGTGGTGTGAGTGAAAACAACTTTCATTGGCTCATTATTTTATTACTTACTATAATAATTACAGATTTAAGTTATAATGAGATAAAAGTACAGTTTTTAATACTTACACGCTCTGTTTAATAGTATTCAACTACATAATAAGAAAGCACCAGTTTTTTCATAAGTCAATGCAATTCTAATTTTAATGTCAAGCTGATATTTTATTTCTTAGCACACAGTTCCAATAAAATTTACCGTTATAATATTGCACCTTCGGTTAATTGGATGTGTATCATAAAAAAAACTCTTTGCCTGTAATTTTATTCACTGTTTCACTAGGGGTACAATATTCAGAGATTACCATTCTTGCATTACTTAAATACTAAAAAAACTGATACAAGAAACAAAGTCAGCTTGTAAACGCTGCCCCATAACAAAACCTAGTAAGTGCTGTAGACAAAATTTTGCAGGACTACCCTGTGTCTTTACAAATCATGGTCGCCCTTAAACTTCTTCTAACATTAAAATGTAATAGTATTAGGTAGGGTACCAAACATATTGTTGTCATAAAAATTATCACAACTTATACATCGCACTTGACAAATAACATAGTATTATTTGCACTCGAGTCCGTACTTCACTTATATCGGGCTTGCTGAAAACCAGCACTCTGCCCGTAGCTAACCGCTGAGCAAGTCCCGTTTGTGTGGGCCGCGACACTCATTTACTTTTATTGTTACTCGTATTATTATTGTGTTTTTACTGTGACGTTGTGAGATTAACAAAAGTAAATTGCATTTTTGTGCAAATTACTTTTCTGTCTATTTATTGTAATATGATAATTTTTAAGCACATTCATGAGTGTCTTGGCGAACAAATTAAAGTTTTCTTATTCTTATTATTTTCTCAAAAATTGCGTTATATTATAATTTATCTTTAAATGTCGTTATATACATGTATGTTGTTCGAGATTTAATTTCAAAGTCACAGGACAACACTTTCACTTTGAAATTTAATAGGTAATATTAGTATAATATAACGCAATTAAGTATTATCTCAATACTATGTTAGTTGTCATGTGCGACATGTATTACATATTTTATATCCCTATTAACTTTAAATATTTATGTACACACGCCAGCACATCAAGCTACACATTGACGTATCTTGTTCCGTAGCACTGGAGGCGATTTTCGAACAAAAATGTGTAGTCTAAAGTGCCTTTGTCCGTATATAAGTAAAGTTACTGTAGCAGCCGGAATCAAAACATAAGCATTTGCTAGGTATTTGGTTTAGTTATTATATTAGAAAATTTTAAAGTTTTGATTTTGTTTGACTAATTAAATAAATAAAATGTTATTATGAAATGAAAATATTAGTATTTTCAGTATCTGTAAAGTTTCACTATCCAATCACTGGTACTAGACAGTTTATTAATTTAATTAGTGGTTTGATTTTGCTTGGTACCCAGTAAGGTATTTGAATTGGCAATTATTGGATAGTGGAACTTTAGTGATATGAAAATGTTATTCACGTTATTGATTTTTCCTTTCAAAAAATTATTGGATGGTGGAACTTTACTAATAATGCCTTACTAGGCACTTTAACTACTTTAAAACCTAGTAAATGTCAAATACTCGCTATGTTTTGAATTGGTTAAAGTGGCTTAAAAGATTTTTGCTGAACACGAACCGGACTAGGTGTGCCTTACTAAGTTTTTAAAGTTTCGAAATCAAATAGTAGAATTTTAAAGTGGTTGTCACCGCTATTAGGTGAGTACTTACTATGGGAGTAGTATTACGTTAAAAATTATTTTCAAAAAAATTTTCCCTTACTAGGTTTTGCTCAGGAGCAGCCGAAGTTTCAATGCTTACATACTATTAATACCATCACATTCATTAATTGGTAACTTAGAATACGACATATTTTTGTGTGCGCATTTATATCAAACACTATCTACGTCTTCAGTCAACGATTTTTCTTTTCAAAAAGAAATATTTTAGTGTTTAGTGACATGATTCACAGGAAAAAAATCACAAAAAACAAAGTTACATTGTGTAATATACACAATGTAACTTTGTGTTTTGTGATTTTTTCATATTGAAATTCGAAATTTTATGAGAAATACTTACATTATTTTTGGTTTATTACAGCACCAAAATTGTATTTCGCAGAGGTACTTAAAAATAGATCTTAAATCTTAACATTTTAAGGCACTTAATCGTGTACGTTAGTTTGTTATCACTTATCACATTGCGCTTATACTTTCATAACAAAAGAAAAATAGAAGTACCAGAATGTCTAAGCCTATTTACTATTAAATAAAATAACAATAAAAAAGGGGCTCGAGGTAGGGAACTCCCCAAATGAAATTCTGAATAAGTTATCTGATATAGAAACTCTACTTAAAAATACTACTTAATACCGACTAAAATGCAAAGTAACACTTCTTTATAACAGTATAGTGGCATTGGAAATGAAAAAAATTTTTCGGATCTAAAATGGCATACCTACATTTAGGAAATGAAACTATTTTTCCGGATTTAAATCACGTATATTTGTTTTTTCATACAAACCGTCGCGCAAATATACGCGATTTAAATCCGGAAAAATAGTTACATTTCCTATGTGTAACAATCGCGAAAACCTAAGAACTCGATATACCTACATTTCTTTTTTTTTTTTCAAACATATCAACGTTTCCGGCTCATAAAGATTCCAAGGTCTCGGCTGACTGAGGTAGTAGTCACGAATTTTCCGAGGGCAGGTTTCATCACGATATTTTCCTTCACGAAAAGCTCATGGTAAATTTCAAATGAAGTCAACCAGTTATGCCTGTCTAATAATGTTTGAAAAGATTTTGGATTCGAAAAATTAGTTTCCTTTCCAAGTACAGCAATCGCGAAAACCTAAAGTGGTACTTCGAATACTCTTTCGCATAGGTTAAAAAAAATAATGTAATGATATGTAAACATAGTATAAGACAAATTGTATGATAACAAAAATTTTATGTAACTCCAAACATACGTAGCAGCGCGGCTTGCACCTGTGCATGCGCCGTGTACGCCTGTACACGCACACATTCGCATAATCTCACGATGCACTCGAGTTGCATAGCGCGGGTTGTCGCACACGCCATTAAAAAGAATTGCTGTTGTTTGAACAAGAGCAGGCCAGGCAAAAGAAGAGTTAACAACCAGTAGGTACAACTTAAATAATAATGTAACAACCCTACATTCTAAACGGAGTGCAGGCATTTACGCGCCGCACGGAATTTTACTTGCTCCTACTACATTTTGATATAAATCTACAAATGAATTCATAAGTCACGGCTCATTAATATAAACATACATAAAGTACATAAGAAAATGTTTGTAACAATGTCTTCGTACAAAAAAAATTATAGTTTAGACCATAGTTTCCCAAAGTAGTCCCCACCGATGAGCACTGAAGAGCCCTAAGGGGCCTAAGAGGGCTAAGGGGGGGTTGACGCTGTCCAAGAGGTGCTCCCGCATTTGAAAAAAAAACCTGAATGATCTGTATTAACTAGGCTACAATTTTTTGTGTTACGTTAATATAAAAAATACGTTTTCAATTATTTTTTGTGGTGGTGGGCGTTGAATTTTTTTTTAATCTTGCCTTAGTGGGAGCAAAAAAGTTTGGGAACCTATGGTTTAGACCAAGTGAATTTCTATAACCATTGAATAAAAATAACTCGCTCTCGAGTCTTCACATCTTAACTTGTCGAAGATACGATTTCTATGAAATCTGTGACTTACTTGGACAGTATTATCCTTACATAATTCTATTTGGTATCTCATTAATACATTTGATAGTGCTCGATTTTAATCTGAATTTTTTTTTATTAATAGGTCGTTGGCACTTGCGAGAGGAAAAGTACCATTACTATGTAACCATTATTATGTATTATAAAACCAATCACAAACTTGAAAATTTTTTCTCCGAAATAACGTTTGTTCGAATTTTCATTACACCGAAAACCGAATTATAACGGAACAGGTGTTCTTTCAGGATACGTTGAATGTTTATCGCAAAGACACGATTAGGTTCGGGTAGGTTAGGTTAAGTTAGTTAAAGGAAAAACATTTTCCTCTCAAAATTATTTTCAAGGTTATGAAAGTTCGACCAAACGTTATTTCTGGAAATTGTCATTTCAGACTACTGATAGGTAATCCATTATTATATTACGCGTGAACCTATTTATTAATTATGTAATATGTGCCAGACAACCACACCAAATACCTGGTTCAAAATAGAGAATTCCCTGTACTATGAGTACCAGAGTAAAGGCATTCACTCTGAGGCACTTTCTAGAACACCCAGACCAGAACCAATTTAGAAAAATTATTTTCCCAAATTGGTCCTACCGGGATTCGAACCCGAGACCTCTGCATCCCAAAATGTAAACCGTTAGCCCACCGAGGTCGTCAAATATATTATTGCTTAAAATTAGGTTAATTAAACAATAGTAGAGAATTTGACAAGGTTTGGAAATGTAATGCTTTTCAATTAAAATTAATTCATGTCTATTTTTAATAGCATCGTCGTATAGACAATGGATGGTCAAATGTGAAACTGAATTGAAACAACACTTGTTTGTGACGTCACAACCATAATCGCACTGTAAGTGCTACGACGTCTTGCGAAAAAGGGACAGAGTATAACCACCACTAACTATAATTATTGACAACAAAAACCGACTCTTTTTTATTAAATTGTTGCAGGATTTAAGTAACTATGCTCCATCTAACCATTTCTTTAACTTTTGACCTATTTTATACATTCCAAATTCCGTGATTATTGACATAAAACCAAATACAAAAAATGCTTCCTGGACTCTTATTATTAATAATAATATTTAATTTTAGTGAAGCGATGTGCTCTTTAGCTCCGTTATTTATCGAGTCAACAGATTATGTAACGAAGATTATTCAATCGAACGTAGAATATTTGATAAATTTTGGTACAGTCAAGAGCACATCAAGCTTGACACTTTGTACTTTGGACCGTTCTTATCATAAGCGGCATAGAGTTGGATTTAAGTCTTAAGTGTAAAGCTTGACGTGCTCTTGACCCTGTACCTGTCTATAAAATTTAATGAAATGAAATAAATTATAAATGATTATAATAAATTGTTATTGTTTATTATAATGAAATGTCGGATTCTCCATATGAACGGGAATCTTCACTTGAATCCTCATTAACATTAATTATTAATTCTTGAGTACACAAACTGTCAAACGCAACATCATGATACCAATCAGACAATATCTTCTTTTTTGAACCCGCTCACATTCACGATTTAAACTTCGTCATAAATAAAATCGACTGTTATAAACAAATCGAATCGGAAACGCATTAGGACATCACTAATGGATTAGAATTCGAGCTGTCAAAAGTTAAATAAACGGCTGGACGGAGTAAATAAGTAACAACAGTTTTTACGACCACTAGTTACTACGAGCATCCGAAAAGAAGCTCCGTACTGACCAATTGGGTATGTAACCAAAACGACAGTCAAATAAAAAGGTAAAAAAGTCGTTAAAAACTAAAAAAAAATCTGCAATAAGCTCTTAGAAAATTTCGTAAGGTTTGGTGGTTCGTTCCGAAGCTCAGTTGGGAGAGCGTCGGCTCGGTATGCTGAAGAAGCTGGTTCGAATCCAGCCGGATCGGAGGAATTTTTCTTAGCGATCGATCTTTGTATTAATAATTATTACAAACTAGAGGAGCAATTTCACAAAAAAAAATTGAATATCATAGTAGTAATTCAATTATTTCTGTGGAATCCTCATGCAAACATTCCCGAACTATTATCAGAAACTGTACCATTAGTTTCCTTATCATATTTCACTACATCGTCACATTCCAAATAGTCCAAATCAGTCAACTGCCTTTTTATTAACAAATGTGGCGTTTTTTGCACTTTATGCTCCTTCAAACACTTAGGCACCATCTCCTTACTTTCCATCATATATTGTACAATCACTCTCTCAAAAAATAACGCTATTATAAAATTGAAAGCCGCTATAGCCAATATAGTATAACTTAATAGAGAATCTTTAGGCATTTCTAATTCTAAAAATGAGGCAACCCATTTAGCAGGGCTTACAGTTATGTAAATAGACATAACCGTCATTATAAAAAAACTGACCATGAGTTGCTTATTTGTCACTACACTTCTTCTATACGGGGCACCATGACTAAAAACGATAGCTTGAATTATATACTGGAACATAGATACCGCAAATATAGTGTAATTTTCCCAACATTGGTTCGCTTCATCTCCTTCGTAAGTATGCCTTACGTACCACGGGAAAAACGTCAATGCTAGGTAACTTAAATACTGTGCTATGCCAATAAAAAGCATCTGTCCTATTAAGGAAAACAACGGTACAAGACCCAGCAGTGACGTCAATGGTGGTATTTTACATAATTTTCCAGTATACGCTTCAGTCATACCGAAGAAAAATGCAAAATTAACAATCATAGCGACATCGATGAACAAAAATTGGAAATCTGTCAAATTCGAATCAAAATAATAGAGAAAGGCGACTGAAAAGAATTCGGTGAGCGAATATGCAATCATGAATTTGAATACGCCAAAACTGGTGGTGAGGGCGGCTCGGCCTTCCCTTAATACTCTAGAGACACAGACTATGTCAGGATTTGTTGATGTGAACGGGGCTGCAACACTGCTCTCAAGTTCTGAGAGTGATATGCCTGTATGCGCGGCCCGGAGAGCACCGCAGTCGTTCGCGCCGTCGCCACACATGCCTGAAAAGAGTATACATGTAAAGACCAAAACACACTTATTTTTATTTACATAAGTCAACGCAACACTCTCATGTGATGATTATGATGATTAATATCTTTAGGAACTCAACTTCGTAGCAATGGGACGGGTGCTGAGCAGAGAAAAATCAATGTCACGACGTAAACAAACCTACGTTGAGAATTTCGGTTTACTTATTTAAAATAATGAATAAAAAAACACTTTCAAACGATGATTTAATAGCTAAGAAAAGAAGAAAACAGCAAATATTTATGTTTTGGCTAAGCAATTGAAAACATTGATTAATTTAATGCAATAACGCATTAACTGAATACAATAAACGTTAATTGAATAAGTCAAAGTTATAAGTATAAGTTATAAAGTAATGATTAATTGAATACAATGACACGATTGCGGAAAATATCAAATTAATTTCAAAATCAACAATTCTGATTCATTGAAACAAAATAACGATCAAACTATTTAAATTCCACGTAAATTCAATTTGCATTTTATCCCAATTGAAAATGCCAATGTAGATTAAACTGTAGCCATCTTATATTGCAGCCCATTAAAATATGAATGAATATAAGACCAACGTTTAAATTCTCTACATTCAAGTCCTGCAATTCATCATTTGTATGGCGATCACGTCTTTCAATAGGATGTCTATGAGACCTATAGGGCAGAATACGATAATCTGTCTCCGGTACGAAATCCTCTGGATCTAATTCGAATTGGCACATTTCATCGTGTGCGTGAATCAATTCTTGGATAAGAAGATGATCTTGGCTACAAGATGCTTCATTATTTAGTAGATGTGTTCGGAATTCTTCGTCTCTCGTCATTTTGTGAATTTATTTATTCTTTTAAATACAATTTATACGCTATTATTCATTAAATGTTATATTCTATGTAATCGATTTTCACAAATAAATGATATTATTGATTTAATCTTCTTCTTTTATGATTAATACTGATTTTAAAACTTGTTAAGATCTCATAATTTTGTTCAACAAACAAAGAATAGTCATTGAAGTGTAATGTCGTAGTGACATGTTTTCTTCTTTTTTGAGATTGTCATGTCAGTTAGATAATGAAGTTTTTGATTAATGAAGTTGGTCACTGGTCAGTCTATGCTTTAAACGTGTTTCTAAACGACATTTTAAGCGTCAAACTAAAAACCGTTTAAGTGAAAAGCGCTTTTACAAGCACGCTTTTCATGTTTTCAAACGTACGTTTTAATTTTAAAAAAATAATCTTTCATTTTTCAAAAATTTTCCATTTCAACGGTTAACAACTACGAAAGTTAAACAACTTATGTTTTTGAACGCTTTTAAACGCCAATGAACAAAATGTAAATATAATAATATTATGTCATAAAAATATAACTCTTTTTTTTAAACAAACTTATCTTAAAACTTTTAGCGGTATACTCTTGCGTTTCGCTATCAACACGACGTTGCAAGCTTTTTTTAACATAAAAGTCTATGCGCCTAAGCATTTTCTAATCGATTTTGTTAGCTTCAAACTAAAAAGCGTTTAACTGAAAAAGCGTCTACAAAAGCACGCTTTTTTTTAAAAAGCATAACATTTAAACGTTTAAAAAAATAAGCAGTTTTTCCCATCTCTACTTATTATAATACGGTCAGTATTCTTTTTCCTAGTAAAATTGCCTTTTACATTGGTTTTAGGAAAATGTAAATAATATCTATAACGCATCAACATAGTATCCGAGGGTCTGGTATCCAACGATGAATTTAGAAAAGGTTTGTTTTTGGTGTTTAAGGTATATTAATTTTCGGCCTTGTTATAATACAGTTAATGTTGATTCTTCACTGTCCGTAAAGACAAAATATATCAATTCTGTTCGAGAAAATGGACAACACGCGTTCTGAATTCATAGAAACTATATATTGAATATAAGACAGAGAAAAGTTTCTCTACTATTGCGATATTTGTATAAGCGTTTATTTTTCTTTTAATTAGTACCTGCTTTCGTGCCCGAATGGTTACCATGCTGATCTGTCACGCAGATAATAATAATAATAATTCATTTATTCGCTTCAAATAGAGTAGGGTACATTACACATGCTGATGGTAAAAATTAAATCAGAACTTAAACCTATTCGGCCTTCTAAAATAAAAGCATGCAAATACAATAATAAAATAATACATTGGTGGATTGAGATTCGATTTTAAAACAATAATTAGGCAACAAATTGATAAATTTAAGATAATTGATTTAATTTGATATGTCAGAATCGTGTGTCATAATTTAATAATATTTTTTTTTAATGATTTTTAAAGATGAAAAAATACAGAGGTCTCGGATTCGATCCCTGGGCCAGGAAAAATACTTTTATTGCCTGCATTTATTTCTCTCGTGAGATTGTGGTTGTCTACGTGTTTGTCCATAGCACCCGCGATACAAGATTCCCTAGTGCGGAGCGATGAGTGTGTGCGCAAAAACATTCGTCATATTTCTTCTTCATATGGCTATGAGTCTCTGCCACATACCAAACTATATGCGTTATTTTTATTATTTCGCCACTAGTTTTTGTTATATTATTATATTCTATGCCTTATTCTTTTTCGCAGTTAAATTATATTTTAAAATTAGTTTTAAGAAAATGTAAATAAAATCTATAACGCACCAACATAGTATCCAAGGGCCTGGTACTCAACAACCAGTTGTTGCTTCTGGTCGGACGACATACGTGCGAATACTGCCCCTCGTTCTATCACAGGTGGTATCATGCTAGGATAATGCTCACGAAGGATCTGTAAATATAATTAAGTTGTGTTAAAATTCCATAATAAAATGAAAACGTAATGTGATACCTTAGTAATTTCAAAATAAATAATTCTCACAATTTTGGTGTAATAAGGTCATATCTGCATAAGTACTACTTTTCAGAAGAGAGGTTTAAAGATTCTATTTTTAACGCTTAAATGGGAGACTTGTAAAAATTCACATATACATAATTTGTAACCATTGAACTAAATCTAAACTCATGGTACCACGATTTTGTTCGTAAAAAAGGTAAACCATTATTTTATGAGGAACTGTATAAGGTTTTACAATAAGATTCCGGAGCACATATTGAAATTATCATTTCCCAAGTTTAAAACTTACATTTAAAGTATTTTAATTGAAAAGTCATATTACAAAATTTAAAACTACGTGTTAAATAAAGATGTATGGAAAGACGACTTGGGTCTAGATTTCACACAAATTTGAATTAAGCTTATTTGAAAAGAACAATCTCTAGAGTTTCTTGCTCGTTCTTCTTAAGGAAGTCAGCACAGTGAACGAGCAGTAGCTTAAAATAAGGCGTTTTCAAATGTATATGGAATAAATGATTATTTTACTTTCATGTAGTTCGTTCTTTTTACGACTTTCGTGTGATTAAAGCACATTTGACATATGATCGCATATGGTTTTATTATACCACTTAAAAAATAAATACTTTTGGATAGGCTTGTCAACCTATATTAATGTGAAGCATTTATTTTACCAACAAAAACACATTTTACTTATACTTTGATTTAAATTTTCACGATTTTCACACATAATTTGATTTTTAATTCAGAACTTAATCACGTATAAAACATATTTTAATTACCTCGACGTTTCGGGCGTATTGCAACGTCTATGGTCTCGAAGGGAACTGAAGATGCTGACACCCGCCTCTTCAGTCCCTTCGAGACCATGGACGTTGCAATACGTCCGAAACGTCGAGGTAATTAAAATGTGTTTTATAAGCGATTAAGTCCCGAATCAAAAACCAAATAACATTTCACTTATTACTGGTTATTAATTCGTTTACCTTTCTTTGTTTCTCGTATAGTTCAACAATAACAATAATAATAATAATAACGTACAAGACAACCACACCAATTGCCTGGTCTCAAATTACGGATTTTTTTATATAATATCAAGTGACGACACGAACAAGTCGTGCGTCTGATGGTAAAGTTACACGTGTTCATAACAGCTGCAGTGCCACTCAGAGTTTTAATCGCAAAGATCTGAGGGGCACTGCCATTGCGCCCGTCACTTAGAGACATAAGTTGACTAGTCCCATGCGCGTGTAATTTCACCATCACCTTTAACCTTCAAAACCGGAACACAGTAATGCTGACATTACTGCTTAGCGGCAGAAATAGGTAAGGTGGCAGTACTTCCTTGGACGAACTCTTTCACAAGGAGCTCTACTGCGACTAAACCAACTAACTAACTGTTATAATTATGAATACAAAACATTGTTCAACTTTAAATTCGATCATTAAAGTAATTAATATCCTGTACTATGAGTACTATAAGCCTTACAGAGAACCGGATGAAGTACGTTCAACCGTGCTGATCCGGTGTTAGGACCTGACTTAGCTGGTCCCTGTGCAAGCTCGTTCGCACAGGTTATAGTTCCCTTCCCGCATAACCTATAGGTTGATAGGGAGGGGCACTATAAACAAAACTTATGTAGAAAGATATGGGACTGTACTTTGAGTAACAGATCAACGGAATTCACCCTGCGGCACTTGGCAGAACATCACAGACCAGAACTAATTTAGAAAAATCATTTCCCAAATTGGTCCTACCAGGAATAGCGGCCTTAGTACAAACCGTTGGGCCACCGAGATCGTCAAGGAACATTGATTATTAACATTCGTAGTGTGTTCCAAATTGAATAAATAATTATAACTTTTGTTATAAAAAAACCGACCTCAAAAGTTCATGTAATTACACCTATTTGCCAAGTTTTATTGAAATCGGTTACCGGAAAGGGCGCGAAGCCTGATTCATCCACTAGTTTGCCACTCTTGAAGGTGGAATATTTTCTTCAAATTTAAATGGGACCAATACTGACGTGCCTTCTTTGCAACAAAAAAAGTATCATCAAAATCGGGTCCTAATGCCGGTGTAATCGCGTAATATATACATAAAAAATACAGTCGAATTGAGAAACTTCTCCTTTTTTAAATCGGTTAAAAATGCTAGACGTACTCGCCACGTGTCTCCAGTCATAACGGTCTGGTACCGCGGTGGTCCCTTCGCTGCCTCAGCATCACAGCCCCTGCCCTCGCTGGAGTCCTGCCACGAGCCCCGCCCGCTGTCAACGCTTCGCCACTCGCGCTGTAGAAACGTGCGACGTCCTATTGGTGTCTGCAATTCATTATTCGTATTATTTTAAATCTATATTTCAAAACTTATGCGTGTTGTTGTTATAAAAAAAAATTCTGTGTTAAATGTTTATTTTTCCCCTGTGCATTAGATTCAGTAATACAGCACATTAGTGAAATAATAAAAAATATAATTATGTTGTTAAAAAAAGGACTATCTATTTCTCCCCTGTGCATAAGATTCAGTAATGCTTTGGACACACAGCTTTTCCGCGGCCGCCACTGTGCGGCCTGAGCATAATAGGTGTTTTTGTTTTTATTCGAATTTTGTTTTTGTTTCTTTATTTTTTATAATAACAGAAAATTACCAAAAAAATAAAGTTGGCGTAATGTTCATTGGAGGTATCGTTTTGCGGCGCTCGTTTTTTGTTGTTCCAATTAACAATGTATTCTTATCGGGATTTTGATTGGTGCGTGTTTATATCGAAAGTCGAAAGTGGTTGGAGTCTTCACGACGCTCGAAGACTGTATAAGGTTGAGAGCGCCCCCCTCTACGAGCTCAGGGCTTATTGGATTCAAGTGTTGCTCGACGAAGCACAATTTTAGCGCCTTTTCGATTTCTTTGATAGCATTCTTATATGAACTTCTATATTAAGAGGTTTGATTTGATATTGACCATCCATGTAATAATTGTTGTAAATTTTGTGTAATTTATAAATACGTATAATTCGTTTCAATCCATTTTCAACAAAAAGTAAACAAACAAGTCCGATCATAAATAGTGTATATAGTGATGGCCAATTGCAATGCCAACTACAAATCGATAAATTAATCGAATAAATCGACTTGTTTAATTGAGTCACACTAGCGGTTTTTCTTGCATAAAAATAGTGAAAATACATAACTTATGAAAGCATATATCTAAAATTTCCGAAATCTTAATTTTAAATCCTCCTTCAAATCCTTACACTTAGATACTCGTTCGACTGCGATTGAAATTTTTGATTTGCTAATCGATTACAAAAACCTGGATAGAATGACCCGAATGTTTTTTATTCGTACAGCAACCATAGACAAGTCATAGAAGTGTAGATGAAAAATAACCTCAGTTTTGAACTACCATTTTTCAAATACGATTTTATGACGCTATTCAAATGAATATTGTTGGAAAAAGTGATGAGATATCAAGTTGAAATCTTCGAAATATACGTGAAAGTGCTACTTATTCGATTTATTGAGTGATAGCTTTAGAATTTTAACCAAACAGGCTTCTTTTACTTTTCATTTAAAATGGATTTGAACAGACTATATATGCGTACATTTTTGTGTTTGCATCCATAATTGTTTGTTATTAATGTTGCTCGAACTGATACTAACCCCTTGCAGCTCACTCTGGCAGTAGATAATTGGTGTACCACCGCTGGTATCTGCGTGTAGTTGTACTACTCGTCCGCCGCTGAGTAAGATACCACATTCTTTTGCTACACTAATTGCTGTGAGGACGTTGTCACCTATGCAAAAAAAAATCATATAATTGCTGAGAACAGGAAACTAGCAATGGTTGGAAGCACAGAACAATAAATACAGTAAAAGTGGTTAGTTACCGTCAGACGCGTTAGCGTCAGACGCGTGCCAACTATAGGACTCGAAAAACTTATCTGGGTGCCTACTATGTGCTTATAAGCGGCCAGCCAAGTTCCATGGAATTGAAGCTTGATGTGCTAAAACTGAATTGCTTAAATTCATATCATGACCTACACAAAGAATTGAGGGAATAGGGGAATGGCATGCCTGGATGATGAGTTTTACTTTTTAAACGTTAATTAGTCTCTGACTGGCTAGCTGATATCTAACAAGAGCGAGATGGAACTACATACTAAATCATATGAAAGAAATAGACAGATGTACTATCCTGGGAGCGTTCAAGCACTATTAACCGATTGTCTTCAAAATGAGAATAATTATATTTTTTTATTAATTTCATTATTGATTATACTTAGTACGTTGTTTTGTAATATCGGCAACTTTTCAATCATACTTTACAATTTGTCGTACGACAAAATTACACGTCTGTCTAGTCATTATCAATAAAATTAAAAAGGTGAGTTTGTAATTTGATAACATTTTTGGAACGTATCTTGTATTCGTATATTTTCATTATTGCATATAAGTCAAATTTGGCACTGTTTAAACGTTATTTTACGATTTTCGGTAAATAAAATTATTAATATTCCATTTCAAAATTGCAATAACATTCTTACCTTAATTTATCAACCATACTTTAAAGATTGGGAACTCGAACTAAAATTTTCAAAAAACGCTCAATAGTTAATAGTATTTATTTATTGACAATTGGCTATATTTAGCCTATAAAGACAACAAATAATTATGAAACTGAAAATATAATGAAACTTAAACGAAATTTCTTAAAAATGTAGCAAAATCTAAAAAAAGTTACTCACGGAGTAACTTTTTTGAATTGCTTATTTTTACAGATGACATCATTGACTTACAATTATATGGATGTCGGGTCCGCGCTGAAAAGTGTCCGCACTTGTAAGGCGCTAAAATCGTATACAGAGCGCGACACTCCGCTTTAGTCTTCATTTGTTCTACGGACAGCGCAATACTGCGATGACATAACAATTTAAATTTCGAATAGGTTGACTTGGGACATTTTTTTCGTGGTTTTTGTATTAGACCCGTCGTCCATTTATTTGTAAGTCAATGGATGACATCGTCATTTGTATGGCGAATGACACGTCATGATACGATTTTGCTATGAAAGAAAAGGTGAACGGATTTCGAATGGGAAACGTAAACTGCATGTGAGGTCATAATACGAATTTGACAAACAATCCAACTTACAGGCTTAAATAGGATTGCTCTAAGGGCTCATAGTAGGCCTCCAGAGCTCAGTCCGCCATTTTCGCTTGACACAACCTTAGAATAATAACGCATAGAAACCTAGCCCGCACACGCTAAGTGAGGCAAATTTAAGCGCTCCCAAAGGGCCTACACGAGTGGGCGGGCCGTCAGTGCTCAAGGTCAACTTGCACCGCGAACAGCTCCAGAATTTTAGCTAAACATGACGAAATGTGCAGTAAATGAGTGTAAAAATACGTCAGACAAACATAAAATAGATACTAACATCACATTCCACAAGGAAGTAACGCGTTTCAACTTGTATTTTTATATAAATATTCACTAAAACCGAAAATTAATCTACTACTAAAACTAGCCTACATGAATTAGATTTTTGCCTCACTTGTGACAGTTCGTTTGATATGAAACTATCATTCTATGCGTTATTATTCTAAGGACACAACCATTTTCGCTATGGTTGTGTCATTCTTTCGTGCAAATTCTCTAAAATCCTAGAAAAATGCTTTATCATGCTGTTTTGGAGTGCAAAAGTGATAGCCGCACTAAAAATACTACCCGTGGTATTTCATATCATCGAAGTCTTATAGGAAATGAAACTATTTTTCCGGATTTAAATCGCTCGGGCTCTTTACAGGTCCCATGGTCACCGTGTGACCATGAGTCGGCCCGCAACGTCGGTTTGTTTGAAAAAGCAAATATACGCGATTTAAATCCGGAAAATAGTTTCATTTCCTGTGTGTAACAATCGCGAAAACCTAAGAACTCGATATCGAAGTCTTATTTTAATAAATTTTCAACTTTCTGTTTATCGAAATATTTTTTTAGTTACAAGAATCGAAAGTAAAGCTTATACCCTGCAATATGGTCGCTTCTTGTTTGGAGTACTAAATTAATAACTCCAATTCGTCGTCGTTTAGCAATGAACCACTAGATGGCAGCACATTGATTGAAATTTCAATACAATATCAAAACTTCGTAACTTGTAATAATAGGTATTGATGGTATTGAACTTTCAACGATATGTCAACTAGCTAAAGTTTCAATTATATTAACAATCCAGAATTTATTTCTTTTTAAATGAGAAACTACGACCAATCAATATCAAGATGTTGTAGTGTTTTAAATTAAGAATAAGTGAGTTTTGGCAACATTTGTTTTTTTTCTTCCGTACCTGGTACAATATGATGTAGAACACCGCCGCAGGCTAGTTCTTCTAAGGTAATCGTATTTATTGCATTGCTACACGGGTGTCTTAGATCCATGTACATAATAGGCTTGTTGTGTATAGTTCATGAAGTATTAGGAATATATTCTCGACAGTGACCGACATGATCTAGTTCGTCTTTCACGGTTTTAATAGTTCATCGGTCTTTTTAGGTCAGTACGAACTAGGAACTGTATGCGTTGATAGTTCACCTATCTTTTATTCAGTAGGATAGGCGCAAGCGATCTTTCATTGCTTTTAGTACAAGTTTGAGTGAGATGCACGACTGAATGTTGCCAGCTCGTTTTAAGTCTCTAATACGTACATTAAGTAAGCTTGTGGTGTCTTATTGGAGTACGCTGTTTTGTATCGGTATTTTTTTTTATTTTGATTTATTTGATTTATTTTCAATTAAGGTATTTTATCGTGTCGCGATACTTAGTGATCGCCTGTTTATTAAAAACTACCAAAAAATAAAAACTTAAGCTCAATAATACTAACCAGTAATCATAACGACGTTTATGTTCGCTTCCTTCAGCTCCCTGATGATCCCTGTAGTAGCTGCCTTTAGCCTGTTCTCCATTATCACCAAACCTAAAAACTCAAGGTCCTTTTCCACCTGAAATTAAAATCAACATTTAGACAAGCACATTCTCTTTTTACAGGAGAACGTTTCAGTGTATTAAATAAATAAAATAAATAACTATTAGACAACATCACTTACGTTGCTCTGACCCCAAAGTAAGTTCCCATTTTAAAAAAAGCACTCTGTATATTGTAACGCACCTCATCCCTAGTCATGTTCTTCATTTGCTTCATGGTTACTTCCATGATCTTTGTCGATATAGCAATCACGCGGTAACCCTTCTCCGCGTACGAACCTAGCACCTCATTCAGGTTATCAGGTACTGT